ATAAAACTTGGCTGTACTATTATCTACTGTTCTTTTTCCTCCCTCAGCTCTTCCTTCTACTTTTACAAACGCAGACATACAAGTGCTGACGTGCTGAAATGACATATTAATAATTCATAAGATAACCAATTTCAACTGCTTCACACACTGTCTGTGCGCGCACTGCCCTGGTTTACAAATCAATAGTTTGAGGTGCTAATAAGACACAGGGCTGATCTGCAAAATACACTGTAGATGTGCACTATACACTACAACAAGTGCATTTAATGTCATGTTAAAGCTGGACTGCCAGACTTTGAAAAATCCATGTAACTAGTTAAACACAGTGGTTATGTCACTGCCTTTGACATGCGTGTCTTTTTTGGCCTTTTCACATCTTTGGATCAGATTTTCAAGGAAGAAAAGAGAAAAAGAGCAGACCACCGTCACTCACATCAGCTGAAGTATGTTTCTAAAAAGATAAAGACAGCATGTTGTGGCCTGACTGTTCACAAAATGTTACTTAAGCAAAAAACATGTATTTCTGAACACCAGTTTTAAGATTTATTGTTGAGGTTGTCTTCAAGATTCGAGATTGTTTATTTTTGTCTTTTGGTTTGGGCTGATGGGTCTGCTACATTTCAATACAAAAATTACATACACTTCTATTCTGACATGTCGCTTTCAGGTCTCTTTAGCCTTTACCTTTGTGCATTCATCCACTGAGGATGCTAAAGAGACAAAAAGAGTGTAAGCAGGTAGTTAGTTAGTAGTTTTTTCATTTCAAAAACACAACCTGAGTTGCGTCGTAGCTTGCTCACGGCATCTGTATGGAGGATATGTAGGTGAATGCTTCGTGGTCGTACTCTCAGCCAATTTGATAAGGGATGAGCTAAGAAAAAGGTATTTTTAGACAAATATATATAATTTTGCTCTTGGTTTTTACACGTCTCCATGCAGTTTGTCGGGTCGTGTGATGCCAGCTGTAGAATGTGCTCTGTAGGAGAGCAGTGTGTGTTCCAACGCTCATGCCATAGTTGAAACCTTATCAGAGAGTCCCGGTCCCCTCTTCTGCTGCTGTTTACTCGCTCTTCTCATTCCCAGATATAACATTTTAAATCACTACTGTTGTTGAAGGCCTCAGTCATTTGAATTATGTACATTCATTTCGGTCATCAGTGCGTATTTATTTGTGTAAAGTATTTTAACATTTTAATCAAAACATAGTATATAGATACACTTGACTTTGGCTCTTCCCAGTGATAAAGATTGTGTCTCTTTCCCTCTTTGGAATAGTTTCAACATTTAGCCAATGCCGATCCAACTCAATTTAGTGTCTCGTAAGTGGCCTGCGTGAACTCTTCTGCCAGCGAGTGCATCTGCTTATCTGCGGTTGTAAATGATCTTAACCCTAGAAGTCAATTCTGTGAAAACACTTGCATTATCTGTTCTGGAGAAACAACCTTTTGTTACATATAACAGCGAATGCGGTAACACACTTCCCTTTGCTGCATTTGCCTGGTCTGTGTGTTTCAGCACCATGGAGAGGGACTGTGACATTTCACCCAGTAACTCGGGTCACTACAATCTGCCACCAAACACTTAACAATAGGACGGCTTATTAATACGCCTTTTCGGTTCAAATCTGATGTCTGCATGTCACAGTAAAACATACTGTAATTGTTTTAAGACCGTAATAATAAAAGGAAAAGTGTGAAATAATTCATATTCTGCTCTTGCACTCACTGCTTTGAAAGATGGACTTTATGGTTTTAAATTTCCCAATGTGTCAAAGCATGATTTTGTTTATAATAAAGATGCAATCAGTAATTTTTTCCAGTTGCATTTTTTTTTTAAATATTGTGGGAATTCGTCCTTAAACCCTAAAAGTAGTCAAGTTATCATGTGTTTTCAAATAGTAATGGAATTGACCAGATGTCCAAAGTCTCCAAAAATTAATTAAAAATATTTTGGAGCGGGCTGTTAAAAATAAACCAATTACAGTGCCTTGCGAAAGTATTCGGCCCCCTTGAACCTTTCAACATTTCGCCACATTTCAGGCTTCAAACATAAAGATATAAAAATTAAATTTGTGTCCCACTTGTTGTTGATTCTTGAAAACAATCGTGAAGTGGAACAAAATTTATTGGATAATTTAAACTTTTTTAACAAATAAAAAACTTAAAGTGGGGAGTGCAATATTATTCGGCCCCTTTACTTGCAGCAAACTCACTCCAGAAGTTCAGTGAGGATCTTTGAATGATCCAATGTTGTCCTAAATGACTGATGATGATAAATAGAATGCACCTGTGTGTAATCAAGTCTCCGTATAAATGTACCTGCTCTTTGATAGTCTCAGGGTTCTGTTTAAAGCGCAGAGAGAACCATGAAGACAAAGGAACACACCAGGCAGGTCCGAGATACTGTTGTGGAGAAGTTTAAAGCCGGATTTGAATACAAAAAGATCAGTATCAGAGTATCAGACCACTGCAAATCTACCAAGACCCGGCCGTCCCTCCAAACTTTCATCTCAAACAAGGAGAAGACTGATCAGAGATGCAGCCAAGAGGCCCATGATCACTCTGGATGAACTGCAGATAACTACAGCTGAGGTGGGAGAGTCTGTCCATAGGACAACAATCAGTCATGCACTGCACAAATCTGGCCTTTATGGAAGAGTGGCAAGAAGAAATCCATTTCCCAAAGATATCCATAAAAAGTCTCGTTTAAAGTTTGCCACAAGCCACCTGGGAGACACACCAAACATGTGGAAGAAGGTGCTCTGGTCAGATGAAACCAAAATCGAACTTTTTGGCCACAATGCAAAACAATATGTTTGGCGTAAAAGCAACACAGCTCATCACCCTGAACACACCATCCCCACTGTCAAACATGGTGGTGGCAGCATCATGCTTTGGGCCTGCTTTTCTTCAGCAGGGACAGGGAAGATGGCTAAAATTGATGGGAAGATGGATGAAGCCAAATACAGGACCATTCTGGAAGAAAACCTGTTGGAGTCTGCAAAAGACCTGAGACTGGGACGGAGATTTATCTTCCAACAGGACAATGATCCAAAACATAAAGCCAAATCTACAATGGAATGGTTCACAAATAGACGTATCCAGGTGTTAGAATGGCCAAGTCAAAGTCCAGACCTGAATCCAATCGAGAATGTGTGGAAAGAGCTGAAGACTGCTGTTCACAAACGCTCTCCATCCAACCTTACTGAGCTCGAGCTGTTTTGCAAGGAAGAATGGGCAAGAATTCCTGTCTCTCGATGTGCAAAACTGATAGAGACATACCCCAAGCGACTTGCAGCTGTATTTGCAGCAAAAGGTGGCGCTGCAAAGTATTAGCGCAAGGGGGCCGAATAATATTGCACGCCCCACTTTTCAGTTTTTTATTTGTTAAAAAAGTTTAAATTATCCAATAAATTTTGTTCCACTTCATGATTGTGTCCCACTTGTTGTTGATTCTTGAAAACAATATACTTTCGCAAGGCACTGTAGATTCGTTCATCTCCAACGAACCAATGGGATGCCTTTACCCCCTTCACCCTCTTCCTGTTTCTCGCGAGTGCACGCACATGAGTTATCAGATTTACTAAAACCTAAAATGACTGAACAGAAAATGCCCATTTCACGTTTGCCTTCCACCCTCCCTGTTGTGACAAAGAAAAGAAAATGCTGGATGTTTGGTTTGGTGGAGAGGCGAGGGGAGGGGGGAGTGGTTTCGAGTTGGCGCTAAGCTAACAACATCGCTTACTGCACCTTTTAATTAAGTACAGTTTTCTTGTTGCATTGTTGATCCCTTTGTGTCTCTTGCTCCAAACTCTTTGCCATTAGTTTTAGTGCGCTGCTAATCTTGTCAACAGCTTTTTAGGTGTGTGCATGAGTCTCTTTTGATCTCTGATTCATATGCTTGGGCATCTGTGCTGACATGACAAAGGCTCAAGCCCAGATGTGGTGACCAGCTGTTGCATCAGGATGTTTTTGTGTGTGCCTTAAAGGTGGACGACTGGATCATCTTCGCAATTATATTTAACTGTAATAAGCAAAAAACCTCATGCAGCACTTCCACAAGGGGAAATGTTTGTTTGTGATTGAGCAGGGAACGTGTTTCTGTCCTTATATGGGCATGTAGTTTGGTTTGAGCCAGTGCGCCTGCCACAGAATGAATCAGTGCTGTTACATCAGAGGTATGGGCAGGCGGGATGGATCACTTGACTCCCATTGGAACACACACTTCCGCTGTGTGTGTGAGAGAGGGAGAGAATGGATAGACACCAATGCCCTACTTTCACCAACATGAACATGTGTGGACTGTTGCGCTGCAGCTTTTTGTGAATGAGACACTTCTGTAAACAGAAGACACACCCATGGCCATGAATACAGACGGCCACTGTGGTATTGGAGAGGATGAGATCTTGTCAAGTGAAAATTAAGCATCTAATTGTCCTGAACACACAGGTCTCTGCACTAGCTTCCTGTGGATCAGAGAATAGACTTTAAAGCAGCTCTGCTTGTGTACAAGTTTCTGCAACGCCTCGCATTAAAGTCTGTGACATGTTAGTGCCATATGAACCAACTCGGACTCTGAGGAGCACAGGGACTGGACTCCTGCTGGTGCCCAGAGTCAGAACTAAACATGGCGAGGCAGCATTTCAGATTAATGCAGCTAAAATCTGGAATAGCTTTCCTGAAAGTGTGAGCTTGTCTTCTTCTCTGACATTGTTCAAATCCAGGTTAAAACAGTTCTGTTTAGCTGTGCATACAATTGAAGGATTTAATATTCGCTCTGTTTAATGTATTGTGATTATTTAGGATTGTAATAATGCCTTATAATGATTGTTCTTGTTTTATAAAGCACTTTGTGTTATGTGCCTTGTGTATAAACTGTGCTACAGAACAAATGAAACGATATACCTACCTTGCCTTCCATGCCTAAACATTGGAATGTTTACTCAACACTTGACATTGACATTATTGTTTATCATAACAGGCCGTTCTCTCTGTCCTCAGGTACATTCCAGGGTCAGTGGGTTGGAGGGATGCGTCATGGTTACGGCGTTCGACAGAGCGTCCCATATGGGATGGCGGCCGTCATCCGCTCCCCCCTGCGCACTTCCATAAACTCCCTGAGGTCCAGTTCAGAGCACAGCAATGGGGCGGCTCTACTGGACCGGACTGGGACTGTGGTCCCAGTGCCGCCCCCAGGTCCTGGGACCCTCACCACCAGTGTGTCCATGTGCAGCACTGGGAGCAGCGGCAGCAGCCCCGCAGTGTCCCGCGGAGGCTTTGTCCTGACGGCCCACAGTGAGGCTGAGCTGCTGAAGGGAAAGAGGAAGAGCGGCCTGTTCAGAAGGTCCATCCTGTCTGGTCTGAAGCTGCGGAAGTCTGAGTCCAGGAGCTCGCTGGCCTCGCAGAGATCCAAACAGAGCTCTTTCAGGAGCGAGGCGGGAATGAGCACCGTGTCATCTGCGGCTTCAGACATCAACTCCACCATTAGGTACGCCCTATCCACACTCCAGAGAGTGTTAACTCTCACCATTTTAATGCATTTTAATCAACATCTGCACAATTAATTAGCACTCACTTTTAGAGGACTTCTTCCAATTAGTATCTTTATCTGTTGGCTACGAGAATCTCTTAGAAGTAGGTGTTTCCATCTGTACTGCTGACTCTACATACAGATCATCTCCTACAAGTGTTAACAGTGTTAAGGATGATGTCTCCTGATCCGGAATGGGACCATTTTCATGGACAGAGATTAATGATAATATCAAAATATTTACTGTTTAATAGAATTGAATTATATTTTTAAGCAACAATGACTATATTTATCAATTTGTATCAGTGAACTCATTGAGTTCAAAGTAATTGAAATGTAAATGCAATTTCCTGTTTTTGACTACTTTATTAGTCCCTTCCCCGTAAAGACTAAAATAGAAAGTAGCTTTTTCTATTGTCTGATAAATAGCCTCTCTGGTATTATGCATAATGTTTTTGTACATTGTCCTGATACATAGATAATTGAAATAAGTTATGATCATAAACATTCTATTTCTCTCACAATCTTTTTTTATACAAAACGAAGGATCCGTCCCATGGGTGTCTTCTGTATTTCAGTCTTGGAGACGGAGACGCAGAGCTGGCAGTTGCAGACGACGATGTGGATGCCACAGCGACAGAGACGTACAGCGGCGAGTGGAAGAACGACAAGCGGACAGGCTTTGGGCTGAGCCGCCGCTCTGACGGGCTGCAATACGAAGGCGAGTGGCTCAGTAACAAGCGGCACGGCTACGGCTGCACCACGTTCCCCGACGGCACCAAAGAAGAAGGCAAGTACAAGCAGAATGTCCTGGTGAGCGGAAAGAGGAAGAACCTGATCCCACTACGCGCCTCCAAGATCAGAGAGAAGGTGGACCGCGCCGTGGAGGGGGCGCAGAAGGCCGCATACATCGCCCGGCAGAAAGCGGAGATCGGCTTGTCCAGGTACGGCTGCGTTTTGGAATCCTTGGGTTATATTTGCAAAAAAATAGGTATTGTGAAGCCTGAACCAGCACAGAGACGCCTCGATCCCAATCTGGGCATTTTTCAAGTTCTTTCTTGTATCATATTGCTGTTGGACTGCAACACTGAGGTCTGGAATCTCTTTTATAAAACTCACAGACGCATAACGCCAGAGCAAGAACTCTCTCATGCAAAGTCTGTGAACAATTAAATTTTCAGATTTTTAAGTCTTTGTAAGTTACTGTGTCCACTCAACCAACACATTTTACGGTTCAGACTTAATCTCCACCAATAATTTATCTCATTTATTTCAATGAATACATCTATTATGGATGAGTGTAAAAAGTCAGCAAAATATCCTGCTAACACAAGTAAAAACACACTGCTGTTATACAAGAAACATTTAAAAACTCACAATCTATACAAGTCAATATCTAGTGAGAAAATAAGCCTTATTCAGGCAATTTAGCTCCACCAAATGTATTAATATATTACATTTTGTGGATTAATATATTCTTTTTTGTGTTTTAACTGTTGATTCTCTGACCTGTGTTGGTGATTTCAATGGTCCTCCTCTGAGATGACTTCTGTTGTGATTTAGGGCTATACAAGAATAAACTGTATTGTATTGTAAATTGTAAATGTAAATTCATCGATTTATAATTTACAATCCATAGATTGGCTTTTTAAGACATACATCATGAGGGTAAAACGTAATTGGCAGAATGTCAAAAAATCTGAATTTATTTAGAAAAAAAATCCAAATTTAATAATGATCATTATTTATGATGAATGAAATGATTTTGTTTCTAAAATGCTTTGTTTCCGTATCAAAATGTCCTGTAAATTCCAAAACAAAGTGAATATTATCATATTATTATTAGTTGATGAAGCCAATTTTAAAAGACGAAAAACATACCAAATATATTTGTTTCTTTTCATCGCATCAATAATTGTGAATAATTTAAAATCATATAATAACCGTGACTCAATAAAGTCAAAACAAATTGATGGATTGATTGATTAAAATGGTATCGATGACTTTATTTTCTGTAGTGTAGAGACGACATGAATGAGAAAAATTGTGAATCTTTGTGGAGAGATTTTATTAGAATAAGTTAAAGATTAAAGAGAGCCAAAGTGAGCGAGGGGTTAAAGGTTGGCTCCTGTTGCCTCCAGACTTTGAGCTCCTGCTTATCAGCGCCGACCCCCAAAAGCACAAATGAATGAACTGTCGTGGGAGCCGCAGTCGTGGACTCATTGATTCTGCTCTCATTATTAAGACCAATCAAAAGTAGGTCTATAACCCAATTTCCTCCCAGGAACCAGGTTATAAGACTGTTGACTGTGAATCAGATCGTAAAATTCTTTCACTGTCATAAGATAATAAGAGAAAATGAATTTTATTGAATTTGTCGGGGACATTATTGTACGTTATTAGGGCTGTAGAAAGTCTATTGATTAATCTAATATTACATTATTGAAATAGTGAAATAACAAAAGTTTTATGACCAATACAGACACATTGTGATACAGATGAATTATGAATTATGAATTGTTCAGATTGAAAATGTGCTTACAAAGAATTTTTTATCCAAATTCACTGAGATTTTGGGATTTAAACAACTAATGGATTTATCAAAATAATAATGGTGCAGATAACCAATTATGAAAATAATTATGAATTACTATGGTTAATCACAGCCTTAACGGTTATGGAATAAAACTGTGCATGAGAACAGTGAGAGTGGTGGCAGACTGTTGGCAGAGGGCCGAGAGTCACGCTCACAGACCTGAGATCAGCCAAAGCACCGGTGTATACAGCGAGTAGCACGCGGCGGATACTTGAGCTGAATCTGTAAGGATCCAATCCTATTAGTCCCAACGGCCTCTTTCCTCCTGAGAGTACTGGGAAAACACTGCTGCAGCTTATCGTAGGCATGCAACAGTCAAATCCCATAGAAAATGCATGTTGTTTTAACTCTCAATGCAAATATGACTCTACTAGACTTTACCGCTAACATTTACTAAAATAATGTAATCAGGTTAAGAGTATTGCAACTGTTGCATCATTATCTCGGACATATCAGATTCAGATTCAGATTCATTTATTTGCCATTTGCAGTAAAACCACATTGGAAAACTGTGCAAGACTACCCCGGTGTGCGCCAGCACATATTCATGTGGTTTGTTGATTTCATGTTGCCATTTTGATTATTTCACAGGATCTAGAATAGACCAGATAGGATGTAAACATATACAAGTAAAATATTCCTTTAATATGGATTTATTTTAATCCTTTAATGTCATGTAATGAAAGTAATGTCATTTTATACTATGCATGCAGTTTCTTGGGCCCAGGTAACCCAGGTCTTGAATGATTGTAGTCGGCTGCTACATAACAATGAACACTGTCCGCAAACAATATACTTTAATGAAAGATCCACACATGAAAGATAAACCCGGCGATAAACAAGTCCACTGCACAGATTACATTTACTGTTTACTTTATTGTCTCTAATGGGAAGTGTGTCCAGTATTTGACGCATGCCTCCACAGGGCAGTGAGTGCGTTTGCTGGGTTATAGTTGCAGGGTGGTTGTGTTTTGCTTGAAGAATGGGAACTCGGATATGGCCAGAAGCTATTGCTTGATAATCTGTTCAGATTCCACATACAAAATATGTAACCTTTTCGCTGTAAAGCAAAAGCCCTTTGAACAGATCGTCTCCTACAATATTCATAACGTATGATCCTATTAAACAGGTGAAGGGGGCTGTGCTTATTCAAAGACAGACAACAGATCCTGAGACAGTGTGAAGAAAAAGCCTTGTGCCCCTGTCTAATCGGATCAAGGCTCTCTAAGCACTTCCATTGTCTTCGTCATTACTCCAACAGGAAAATGATACATGATTCATACCTGGACATGAGCTTTCCGGTTTGCATCTCTCTGCAGGCTGTTCACGCTGCTTTAGGCCAGAGGATCAGACCAGGTGAAGGCTTTGGCCAAGACCGGGACATCCACTATGAGTCACTACAAGCAGACGATGTTGTGGCCTGGGGAGGGCAAGCCACAGATTACGCCATTAGTAATTTCATTATTAAAGCATGTAGCAGTAAGGAACAATGGGGAGTAAGGGTGCGAAAAAAAATAGAGGACCACCAACAATAATGTGTACTTGCTGGACTATTAAGCAGACCTGTGTAAAAATATAATTATCGTTTTAAAAAGTACATTTTGTCCGCATATGATTGTTGATTGATTCTATAATTGCTAACCCTAATCATAAAGAATCTTTTGCTAAGCACTGATTACTGATGCAATCCACCTGCTGGGGTTGATCTAGATACAGTTCAAGCTTTATCTTTTCACATTATGAAAATATTGTATTAATCTACCTGACCAGTTTGAGGATTAAATACCAGGAATTTGAAATACAACAAATGGTCCTTTTAATGTACTGTAGATACGACAGAATTGGTTGAAATACTCTCTATAAAATGACCTCAAAATATAAAATTTGTTATCTGTAAATAGCTGACAAGGTTTTATACAGAAAAAAATGTCGCCATATTGAACGGGTATAGGGAAAAACATCATCATTTGTTAAGTCAAAGTCATGAAGAAAATAATAACGCCAACAGCTCTGGTTATTAAAGCTATCTGTTGTTGTTCCTTTGTATTGTCCAGCTCCTTTTCTTCTCTGCTTTTTCTCCTCTTGAATCTTGCGCTGTGGTTGCACTGTTGTTATGTTGAGTGGTGCTGTTGCATAATCGCGCCCCTTTGAACGGGAGCTGACTCATCCAGAAACAGGTGGTCCCGGGAACAGCGCGTAGGGGACAGGAAGATGGAGATGAGCTTTTGACGTTGTGTAAGGAAAAAGCAGGAAACATTAGAGATGAGCAAATTGATATTATATGATGTACTTCCTATACTCGTTCTGCCTTCTTCATTACCAGTGACTCTTGTATAATACAGACGGTCAAAATCACGCATGTCTCTCTTCCGTTGCCTTCCAAAGTCAATTGAGTTCAAGAGCTATTAATTTCAGGCATAAAAAAGATCCAATCTATGATTTTAGATGGCTGCTCTTACTTATTATTGGTGAACTACAGCTATTGAGAGGGAATAGATCAAAAGAAATGCTACAGTGACTGCAAAAATATAGAATATAGAAATAATGTGATACAGCCTCTCTCATTATGGGCACAAGGTTTCTTAAATAAATTTGCCAATGTTTTTTTTGATATTGTCTGGAATAGTTTATGGACATTGCTGCTGTTGTGATTTAGGACTAAATTTAATTTAATTGATACTAGTTGATAAAGTATTAAATTAAACAGGTCCAAATTAGAGCATTTCCTGATAAATCATCACCTTTTAAAACCCCATAAATTATTATTATCATTGATCAGTAGTAGTTTTATCTTTTTTTTATCATCATAAAAAAATATGGTATTGAAATTGAGTATTTTTTGTAGTATACAAATCATTTTTGAATTTCAGCATTGTGACAACTTCATAACCTCAGCGACTCTCTCTCACATTTACAATTTAGTCATCCAGATCTAGCTTTCCATCTAAAAGTGATTTTCACCGTCCCAGACGGCCGGCACTGTAAAGCTTTAGGAATAGCCCAGGCCGCCAGAGCAGTTTGCTGGTAGAGTGCAGAGACGAACAGAACCACCAAGGCTCACAGGAAGAAATCAATAGACATCGACATGCAACGCTGCATCAACAAAGAGGGAGAGCTGAACCCAAAACTGAGGTGAAAGCAAATGGGACACGAATGTGAACTGAAATGGAGAAATGTGTGACAAAAAGACAGTGCTTAGAGAGCAGATAAAAGCTCTGTGTGATGAAGAAGCAATTAGAGAAAGGCCAGTGTGTGGGTACAGTCGTTGTTGACATAAAGAGCTCGCAGAGATATGAGTAGGATACTGTAATGGAGCTTTTACACTGTGTGTGGATAATGGGCTGCTTTAGAAGGCTTCTCTATATAATGATGGCTCCATAGAGGTACATGTGTGTCGTACTTGGATGCTGCTTCGTCAATAGTGTGCTTTTGTTTTTTTCTTTGTAAGATATGAAAATGGTGAGTCAGATTGGACACTTTATATGTTATCACAAAGAGCCAGGCTTACAGGGTGAGCTCTTACAAAGCCAAAGAGTGTTTGTGTTTCTGCTCCAGACTCTGTGCAAAGTAGACACATACTGTATAACAATATTCTTGTGATGGGATGAACTCTTTCAGGAGGCCATACATTTATGTTTCATTAACACCATGAAACTTTACACAATAAGCACTTCTTATCCCTTATCGGCCAAGGTGAAACACAAGCACATAATATCTCGAGCGACTGTCTATGTCCACAGTTCTTATGTGATCAGGTTTTACTGATTTCACTCCTCATTGTCACTTAGTAAATATGGACATATTTCTTTGTTCTGTTTCAGGACGGCGCATGCCCAGGGTAAATCAGAGGCAGCAATAGCAGCTGCTCAGAAAGCCCAAGAGGAGAGTCGGATGGCCAGAGTTACTGCCAAACAGTTTTCCCCTTCATTCCAGCACCCAGGAAATGGTAAGTGCAACGTGACGATGAATAACATTGTGGTGACATTTATTTACATCTCACACACACTTTGATCACTGTAAATGTAAACTTCCACAACATCATGCATCACCTTTGGCCACTAGTTTTTAAAGCGCTACTGCCAAAAATGACAAAAAATTTAAATTAGCCGAACAGTTTCCATGCAGCGATGTAAGTGAGAATGAAATGACGTAATCAACATAAATGACTAAATGTACAGTGTTGTGTAGTTTATATAAGGCTCGCTGAGACTCATGTGTGGGCACATGTCTCTAAAGGCCAGGGTCTCCCTCCCTCCTCTTTCACATTGTAGTTTGTGTCAGTCACCTGTAACTCCCCACAGGGGCTGACATGACCCTTCTGCCCCACTGAGCTGTGTAATACTTCCCCACACGCACATCTTTGTGACACTACATTCTCTCACACTTTATAAGAATGCTCTTTCAGCTGCATTCTCTGAGCATGGAATTGCACACATGCAAAACGGTGGGTTAAAGTACATGTAATTTCCTACCTAACATGTGATTTCAAGAAAGTAACAGAAATCATTTTGGAGATTTATTACTTTTGATATTTTTGGAGCGAATAGAAATATTTTGTATTAAAATAACATTTTGCGTTATAATAATAATGACCCTCTAAAACATGAGAACCAATTAATTGAATTTAGTTTTACATTATGTAAACGTCTGGTTTCCACTGTAAATTTAAAGTAACTCTTGGTGAAACTGAATAAAATGATTAAATGAAACTCTTGAGTGTTTAATCGTCCGAGAAATACAAGTGCAAGTGTGTTTTAGCAGCTTTCAGTTGTGACAAACACCTGAGTCTCCTGGTGTGCCCTGGCCTAGACTTGTAAAACTCCTCCCAAACTCTTGATAACTGGAGGTGATAATTAACCTTGCCTGCAAGCTGAATTCTCGGGGTATTTGTGAGTTCACAAACACTCGAGAATACATCTTGTACCGCTCCCGCTTACACTTTTCGAGTCGAACCACTGGGTGTGCGAGCCAATCACGCGCCAGTCTGGGGGTTTAGGGCGGGATATCCGGGTACATTTCTGGACGGCAACCTTGGTAGGTGGGCACACAGCGTCACTTCGCCCAATCAGCTTCAAGTATTCTGCTGCTTACCCCTCCTTTCCCCGAAAGGATTCTCCGGGAGAAATCCCAGATTGATATCGCGGAGAACGCGTTAGAGTTCTACACAATCATCAATCTGGCTTTTGCCAGGTTAGGTGATAATACCAGATTCAATGAACCCAGGATGTGAGTTTTCATATTTGGAATGTGGCTGTTGCTTGGCGGCCTTTTGTATCAACTTTCTTTATCTAATAGTTTATGCAAGGATCACTTACTCGCCATGTGCATAACTTGGGTTTTGTTATTACTAGTTGAAATATTGCATGTGACCTGAGAACCGTAGGCCGAGCAAATGTTGTATCAGCAGATACAACATTTACCTCTGACAGTGACTGTAATGGTTTAGTGGTGGATTTTTCAAAAATGTTTAGTGAAGCTCGAAAATGGGAGCAAATGGTAACATTTTGGATCCAGGAAGTGTTTTACTGGTCAGATATGAGATATGTTCTGAATCATAAGACAGTCCCATTAGTGATTTTGATTTATTTTTTTGATCAACTTGAAACAATCACTCAACGCAATCTAATGACTCCATTTAAGTAATTTTTGTTGGAAACTACTTTTGACACAGTTTAAAAAAAAAAAACAGGATACAAAGAAAACAGATGATTATAGACATAGCACCTACTCTTATTGTACTCATCTACACAAAAATGCAGTGGCTTCTCCCTTCAGTTATTCTAATTCTTAATCACTAATATGTTTCAGGTATGGAGGTGCAGCGCCCCAAGCGGCAGGTGTCCAGTGAAATGGAAGGCGAGGGTTTGTCGAGCAGCGCCGGCACCGCGGACAGCCCCGACATCTACGTGAAGAGCGGCGCTTCAGATGACCCGTCGCACGATGGTGTCACCCCGGACTTGAGCCCGCCCTCCTCCTCTCCCCCCCACACGCCCCCCGCTCCCATCAGACCGTCCCAGCGCAGCAAGAGTGCCCGCTTCCACAGACAAACTGCAGTGGACCACGGGGACAAGGCCAAAGAGGGAGCCAATGAGAAGGCCGGGAATGGACAGACAGAGATCCAGGTGTTGATCGAAGGAGGAGGGGAGAACGCCAAAACAAACGAGTACAACAAGGCCAACAGCTGGAGCGAGGACAAGCGCAAAGCCGCACTGTCCAAAGAAAAAGGCGTGAGTGGACGTATAGTTAACAGGACCAACGGACACAACAAACACTCCAATATCAAAACACGAGAACACGGTTTGTCCAATCACAGACAGGTACGACAAGAGCGGTGGGTGGAGTCCTCCTCCTCTGCTTCTTGGACGTCCGGCGGACACAGAGGCAGAGGTGGACGGCTACTGGAACAAGATGAGGAAAAAATCAGTAACTATGAGATGGAGATGAAGCCTTTACAGCCCAGAGACTCCGCGGCTCACAAGGCCCATGGGCACGTGGAGGAGCGGCCTAACGAGGGCCGCTCTCACACCGTCCCGCGGCACAGGCATAAGAACCGTGAGACCAGGGAGGGACGAGACACTGGGAAAGAGTCCAAGCAGGACAATGCACGAACAGGGGACAAGATGGACTCAAGGCCCCTACGGAGGGACCTCACCTTGTCGCCTCCTCTCAAGTCCTCCCCCATCACGCCAGAGCAAGACCTGAGCATTACGCGGAGCAAAGGCAACTCGGTGAGTCTCTGAACCTGCGCTTTCCTTTTCATTAGACATTTTCACAGCGCCATCAATTTTGTGAGACATCAGATACTCGGCTCAAAACAGAAATTACTTTATGTTTCTATGTAGCTATATGTTTCCTGGAAATAAAGTTAAACAGAGCTTTTTCCATCTGATAAGCAACTACTATCAGTTATGCCCAGTGCCCATAAGGGGCCTGTACCTCAAATGTTCTAATACTCCAAGTATAAGATTACATTTCAACGACATTTGGGCTCTTTTCATAGAATATCCAATCCCACTACAAAGTGATAAAGAGGAAGTTACAATAAAGCCAGAGGTTAAAACTTTTCAGGTACCCTCTAAATATATTTAAATTTTACTCACTGAAGTCCCACACTGAATACAATGTAAGTGTCAAAAAATTCTAAATCTATTTGTTTCAGTTTCAATTTAAATTTTATTTTAGTTGAATTGTCATGTTATATATAAAATAATTAGTGAAAGACAGTGACATTTAAAAAATCTCACCCTCCTTTGAGGAGCACTGCTTTGACCCATGCATTTAAGCAATTAATTGGTATACAAATGAACACGATAAAGGACCAGAGTGCTTGTTCTGAGCAGTCAGGTCTCAGGAGTATCTTGTCTCCATGGTTTAAAAATCTGCATGGTGCATTTGCTGTATTTGTCATGTCACTGCCGCACATTGATTTGACTAAAAGGATTTGTTGCCCACTGTCATGAGGATACATCCCATCCCCAATGACATAACACAATGTTATCCCACATATTAAGATAATCCAGGGGGAAAGCTCCAGCTTTAACCTTGTGAAATAAAGAAACATTTTTTGTCCGATGAGCAAGCTGTAGGATTAAGCTCCTATAATATCGTTTTTTGGCCAAGTCTTGACTCAAGCCAGTTGCCCATCCAGGCCATGTTAATCCCTCACCGTAAGCATTAGCTAATGAAAGCTAGAGAAGAGCAAAAGAGATATCAAACGATACTCATCCACTGTGATCTGTATCTTGAGTTTTAGTTTGGAACTTTGGACGGAAAATCTTCAAGTTTCTGTACAGTGTGATTGTGGCTCTAGTGAATAGGGTTTGCCTGGTGCTGGTTGTAGTGTGTAAACTTTCCCCTTAGTGCTTGTGCTGCTTCTGTCTGAGCCCAGTGGTCCTCCTGCACCTTAGTAACAGCACACAGGGACCCGCCCCCTTTTCCCTCTGCCACATTCCTATTGGCTCATTGACGCTCTGTTGCTAGGGAACAGCTTATGCCTTGCTTCAGATGCAGCCAATGGGCCGAAGCGCGTCTCTGTGAGGCGGTGGAGGTGCAGAGTGTGTTTGCAGCAGTGAGATTTGTGTTCGACAGGTTCACAGCATTCAGAGATACTATCACACAGATTCACAGGGATGGAACACAATGCAATGTAATAGGCCGTGTGGTCTAGATACAGAGATATGAACAACAAATTCTTGTCAGTCAGCTCAGTTATCCTCATCTAAGGACGCTATATGTATTTAAAAAGCATATTAGTCCGGTTATATATAACCTTTACTTCTTTAAGGCTTAGAAGTTTCTTCTAAACATAATTAACTTTTTGTATTTAACCTTAACTTCTTCTGGTTCCCTACTTTTTTTTGCATTGCTTTAGGATACTTAGGCTAATTAGGGGAGCCATGTACTATAGTGTATGTCCTTATACTTATTACTACTATTTACTAATTAGTCGGAGTTATTATATGAAGCAAAATTACAAAAGATATTCCATTGTTAGCCATAGTTTTCAATTGGTCTTTGTACGTTGAAGTGAAAATAGACTCAAGTATGCTGCTGTTTCTCATTTAAATAACAGTGTGCTACTTTTGATTTCAATACTGATCCTGAAGAAGAGTGTGCCGGACAGGTGGTTAAAAGGACTGGCCTTCACCCTGATGACCCAAGTTGTCAGCGAGCATCTGCTGAAGGGCCACATTAGCAAACACATATTTGGTTTGTACAGAGCACTGCTGCAGGAATTTGCTCTTGAGATATTTATATTTTCCTGTAATTCAATCATAAATTATTGTGTAGACTTGGGAATTTTCTGGCAAAGCTCAATGGTTGTGAATAAATAAAATGCTTGTGCTAATTCAGCCAGTTTGTATGCTTGATGGAATGCACAAGTTTGGCAAATACTATCTTACTAGCAATATTTCTGACCAACATTTAGATTTTCCATATCCTGTTCCTTCATGATCAAAAAGTCAGACTTCAAGAGCTACATTTGAAAACAAGTTTACTTATGAAGGAATAACCTCGCACACTCTTCCACACAGCTCAGAAACTATCATAGTGATCTATAGTAAAACCGTTTTTATCTCTTAGAAATAAATGTTAAATGTAAATGTGGTAGTAATATATTAATCAAGTAGTTTTTCTCATGCTATTCTTACAGTCAGAGCTGAGATGTGAGTTTGACAGTTTGTTGAAATTCAGAAAACATGATATGACGAATCTTCAAATTCACGTGATTTTTCCTGTCTCCTTTATGTTTGCAAATTATTTAACTAAAATGGTTGTTATTGCAATTTGTGACTGCATTGATTGTAATGACGCACAATGTCTGAGGTACGATTAATCTTTAAATACAGACGTTCTTTGTTGAAATATATATTTGTCGTTGTTTTAGGTGATTTGTAGAACATTCAATTCTTGGTCTGTATCCTCGCTGACACCTTCTCTGTCTCCCACACAGGCCTACAGCTCTATCCTGGTCGTCATGGTGATCCTGCTCAACATCGGAGTGGCCATTTTGTTTATCCACTTTTTTATTTAAACACTGCACTGCGCGTGGAGTCGGCCTGTCTACGCTCTGCCATCAGTTCACTTGAGTATTGTGAAGACTGCGCAGCCCTGCGGTGTGGACTCAGGGCTCAGGCCAAAGAGAAGTCCCAGCGAGTGGACCACAGGCAGTCCATCCACCGGTCCAGTCTCAACCCTGACTCTCCTCAGGATGCAGATGTCCGCTTCCACTGCAGAGAAGTCTTGACACTACTGACTTTTTTCATCTTCAAATCATAGTTTTCAACAGATTTGTAACTTATTATTTATTTGAACACAAAGTATCTCATGTAAAAAATATGTTGATGGATATATTTATTTTGTAACCCCACTTTCCCTGTAATAACAGTTCCTGCCTTTCGGATATCCTGCTGTCCTGTGGTTGTTACTAATGCTGTACCAAGGTGTGTGTGCGTGTGTGTGTGTGCGTGTGTGCGTGTGTGTGTGCGTGTGTGCGTGTGTGTGTGTGTGCAATTTCAAACAGTCAGCCGTGCCCAGTCACCAATACACACATGGACACACACTCTTTTGTTTCAGTCATAATTCTTGTCAAACATACAATATATTGCCTTTAATTAAGTCAAAAACAAGCTATATTTTGAAGGGAATATGTAAACAAATGTATTTATTTATCATATATTTATTGTGGTGTTTTGGAGACTTGGTTAGTGTCTTTCTTCAGATTACACTCAAGACAAACTTCTCGGAAAATGCCAAATTGTGTCTTTTATATGTTATCGCCAGCATCGACTTATGAATATGATTAGGACTGACAGTGTTGATTTGTCTTAGTAAAGTCTGCAGCCACTTCAGGTGCTGCTGGTGTCACAGTGATGTGTGTGCAGGGCCTTTCACACTCTTAACGAACCTAACCAGAGCCGCACATGACGACACTGTCTCATCAGCACCACACTCCTCCATCGTCAGGGACCAAGCCACACAGGAAAACCATCCATCACAAAAAACACACTTAAACAGTGATCTAAATTGAAAGGGCCTGTCTTGCCAGCTGATGTTCCCTATCACTACGTCCTCTGAAACTTAATTTAATGTCACATTGAGATTTACTACTACTTGCAAGATGAATACAGCATCTGTCATCTGCCTTGCTTTTGTAACAAATTGATTTGAAGTAAACATGAAGTTGTAGAAGAGGTATTGAAGGGGGGACAGCAGTGGTATGTACCGTTTGCACATGTGTGGTGACCAGATGGACTGGTTCATCAGGATCCGTGATGCTTATTGCTTATTTGCAGTTTATTTGTGCAGAGCTGTTGTTTTCTTGTGTCACACAAATCCTTAACAGTGTGTGATCATGTGTGTGCATCTTTCCACGTGACGGGACGGTTGAGCCTGTTGCCATTGGTAACAACTTCCTCGGGCAGTGAGTGGCTGTTGTTCTGCCTGACAGCGCTGATCAAATTAAGAATTGTAACTTACCCTGGGCTGAAGGTGTATTTGTGGTGTGCCCCATTACAGATACAGAGTGTGGCTGTCCCACAGGAGGACGGTCAGGTCCAGTCAGTCTGCAGCATGCTACAGCATGCCGAGCTCTCTTCTCTTTCTAGTTTCAATGTTTCTTTCTCTCCTTCTTTCCTTCTGTCTTCTTTCTGGAAATTACTGTGTTTTGATTTTGGTTTTGAGAAAATAATGAAAGTGTTTGACAGAATCTGACTCCTGGCTGTTTCTTAATCTTGTATTGTTTTTATAAATCTTGTACAGACTCAAAAGAAGGAGTGCCACGAGACTGATAGAAGGGAGGGGATGGTAACTATAGCAACCTAAACTGAACCTCCGTCAGTGAGTGGGCGGAGTCTATGAAAGGGGCGGGGCTTAAGTGATGGCCTGTAAAATCCAACACTAATTACTTTTATCTGAGCACAAACAGTCGTGGAAGCAGGAGGTGGACACTGAGGAACAACACGGATCTTTAGCAGTGAAATGCAGTGACGAGAGTGAACGCTGTTGACGCAGGATACACGTGTTTTAAAACTGACACATCAAAGCACTGCGAGCGGCACTAGGTCTCCATCTACTGGTCATGAGGCTTAATTACAAGTTCATTCGGATTGCACAACAAATTCATTCAAATCAATTTAGACCTACTTTATATGACAATTGGTGTAAAAAAAAATGCTTGTAATGATCTATTTAGAGACTGCACAGGGTACGTGCCTGTTGTATCATAGGCTGATGTAAAACTCAGCTTTTACTTCTCCAAACGCTTCAGTTCGTTTATTGCTTCCTTGATTGGACAAGGCAATAGTGTTGGCATGATGGCCTTGTGAACATGCGCTTGGCACTTTAAACTCCAGATATGCATGAGCACATGAGAGAAAGATGTGGAAAAGCAAAGCAGAGTATATCCCATTCAGCCAATCAGCGGCGAGCATCTAAAACAGACTGAATCGCCAGCCAATCAGCAGAGGTATTCCCCGCGCAGAGCAGGGGCTTAGAATGAGGGTAATGTAACACACAGCTGTTTTTTTTCTCGATTTCAAGTCTCATGGTAGAATTCAGAAGACGCAATGACAAAGTGAAGAGTTGACTTTCAGCAGGTATGACGAGGCATGTCCGTTCTAACGCAGATCTCGTTCCTCTGACCATGTGCGCGTGAGATGAGTGGAGCTATGGTACTTTTTCTGTGATTCTTGAGCGCATTGAGTGATTTAAAGTTGAATGCCGAGCTGCTGAAGCTTTGGAAACATGAGGAGAGGGACAGGCTCTGATGGGACGGTCCCGCACCAGGGGGACTGAGCTCAAACGCACGTAGCGGAGACGTTTTCTGCGGACCTGGTGCTGTTGGGGAAGTCTTGGAAGTTGTATGACTGACGTGCGCCAAAGGAGCGGCTTCGCTTCAAATAACTGTGGCCCAAGTCTAGTGAGTGGGTGAGTGGAACACACCGTCTGTGGATTGTAATTCTACTCCAACATGTATCTGTCTGTTTGTATTTTGCAAAATGTACTGTTTCTCTGATGTCTAAGTCATTTAGCCCAACAAAAAATATCATTAGAGGTACAGTGCGGTTGTTACAGAAAGTTAAAATTATAAAACATATTTTCCATGAGGACAGATGTTTTACAGCCCTTAGAAGATTGTATAACTTAAAGGAACAAGCAAATGCGTCACACTTCTATTAATGTAACACTTACTTTACATTTGTGACAGGTATTTTCAGTGCCATAAAATTATACAACAATGCATTAAAAACATACACAAATAATATATCTTTTATAAGAGTTTTTTTTTTTTTTCTGAGGATGTATGTGTCATTTCAGCACGTGAAAAGTACTATGAAAGAGTTATAACAAATCTATTCCACCTTTCTTAGTTCTAAGTACTCGAATACCCTCCAACCATCAAACCATGAACTGTCTGTAACTAGCAAAGCCCTGTGTCTGTGATAGGATGCAAACAACAGTTTTTTGGTTCTACACAAAAGGAGGGTGGAGGTGTAAACAAAGATCACAGCTGTCAAGAAGTACACTACACCTCTCACAAGACTTGAGTCCAATCTCCCCTGTTGCCTGTAATGCAGAGAATGGTGGAAGGTCGAAGCTCGATCCAGAGGGAAGGAGTCTACTGCTGGTTCTCGTCCCTCACGTCGGCTCAGCGGGTAGACTTCTTGTGCGGCCTGCTGGACCTCTGCGTCCCCATCGAGCTGCGCTTCCTGGGTTCGTGCTTGGAGGACCTGGCGCGTAAGGACTACCACTCGCTCCGGGACGCCGAGATCAAGGCCAACAACCCCACGGATCTGTCCGGCCTCACCAACATCACAGACGAGGTGGTGCGGAGTAAGCTGCTGGTGTCTCTGGCCCTGCTTGGCTCCGACAGCAGGGAGGCGGCGGGGGTCTTGTACCGGACGCTCACGCACATAGACACGGTTATAAACAACTATGGGCTGGCACAGAATGATGGCAAGCCTGAGGAGCAGTTCCTCTTGCTCTTCACCATGGCCTCCAACCACCCGGCCTTCAGCTTCCACCAGAAACAGGTCCTGAGGCAACAGCTGGGTCAGATTCAAGACATCCTGCAGGTGAGAGCTCAGCCAACACCAAGGGCGCGTTTACACTTGTTTGTCTGGTTCCCTTTAACTCGTTTAGAGAAAAAAATATGTGTCTGTAATAAACACCAATGTGTCCTGAAAGCTTAAAACCAGTAAAAAAAATTATTATGTAATTAATTAGATCCTAAAATATGTTCTCAAAATACATTGTTTCTATCACTAGTTTTCACACACATGTATTTCTGGCCTCTGCCACATCCTTTAGATCAGCTTTTCTGACAGAAAAGTGAAAAATAGCTGATCACCCTCTCTCAGCCAATCAGCTCTCAGACCAAAGTAGCCCTAGTGACTCACAGGGCTCTTTCACATGCAAAAGATAATTTGCATGTAATTTTGCAAGGAGATGTTGTTGTCTGATTCATTCACAACATTTACTTTTACAATAGTCATGGCAAGTTTATTTGTATAACCCAGTGTATGCACAAGGCAACTTAAAGGTCCTGTATTTAGCTTTTCTTATTTTTTTCACAGTCCATCCTGGTAATAATTTGGGTGAGACACCATACAACACCCGCCTCCCTTCGCCTGCGCGGTGACGTAGCCTCACGCTGACTTTCACCGGTACATAATCATTTCAGACCTGAGAATAAACGTACAATGGTAATTCATCACAAAGAGCCCAGAGCTCCTCCAGAATCGGACCTTCATTATTTTGTTCACAGAAGTATGCTGAGTTAGTTGCTTTGTACTTACAGAATGGGGCTCTCTTGGAGCACATACATCCAAAAACATATTTTCTCAGAGTTGACATGATGCTGTTTTGGTTTCTCTCTCCTGTCAATCACTTTCTGAAGGTGGTTCTTCTGGAGCTCGAGCTGCGTGTGAAAGTGTGCTACGTAACAAAGTGAATCAGGTCATTTTTGTGCCTCTCGAGAATGAAAGAGAAAGATCGCTTAACTAAAGCTTGAGGGAATCAATGAAAAAGCAACTCTGGGCATGTGTATGAAGGCCAAAAAGTGAAAAGTGTTATATGGGACCTTTAATAAAACAAGACAAACAATGAAACAATCATAGAAGGCATTAAAATCATTCATTATCAAAGTACATTTAATAGAGTGAAGATGTAATCCTTCAGTTGTATGCTTAGCTAAACAGACCCGTTTCTAATCTGGATTGGAACATTGTCAGCCTAGAAGTCTGTCTCACATTTTCAGGAAAACTGTTCCAGATTTTAGCTTCATGAATCTGAAATGCTACCTCCCCCCATGTTTAATTCTGACTCTGGGCACCAGCAGGAGTCCAGTCCAGTTGGTACATATGGCACCAACATGTCACAGATGTACTTTGAGATTCTCTGAGCCACAAGAAGCTAGTGCAGAGACCTGAGGACTGGACTAATGTGATCGTACTTCCTGGTTCTCGTCATGACTGGAGCTGAAGTGTTTAGTGAGCAGGCCGTTGCAGTGGTCTAACCTAATGGAGACAAATGGATGGACAATACTTTACTTTATGTTGTAAATTAAGTATGTTTATGATGCGTTTGAAACAGATTGAAGATTTGGTTTCCCCAAGTGAACCAGACTTGGTCCAACACGTGTGGACGCTTCCTAAGACACTCATCATAGCCTTGTTATATACATATTTAGGTTATAATGAAATTAAAAATATAATGAAAAATTATATTGTTAAGCACTTTGCAGTACCGACATCGTAACCATTAAATTTGGAATTACTGCAGTGAGAAGCAAAATACACAGTGAGGTATCTGCCCCCGCAAGAAATAAAAATATGACTCAAATGTTGCAGAGCTGCCATGTCAAATAATTATGAATAATATCAGAAAATTCAATTTGACACACGTAGATCTAAGTGACTCACATTTATTTTTATGTGAAAAAGGCAGTCACACATAGTTACACAACAATACAGAAGTTATAACAGAGGCTAATTTAGAACTCCCAGAAGAATCAAATGATAATCTATTGCAAAGGTAATATACTGTCGATACATATAGATTCCCAAAGTCTCCAAACCTGTATGTAAACCACACTAACTACATTTTAAAGAAAGTTTTGTCCACATATCGGCCTCACTTGAATACAAGCCGCTGTTTTAATGTTGAACGTAACACGCAACCAACAGCTGATGGCACAAAACAACTTAGCCGTAGATCCATGGCCGTAACATGGGCAGACGTGTTGCTAGGGTGGTTGCTAAGGCATGCTGAAGTTTCCCCCCTACAAATCTCTTGTAAATCTGGATCAAAATATGAACCCCGACATCAGAGAGAACCCTAAACCGCAGATTTTAGGAGCAAAACTTCCTCCATGAGCACTTCCCTTTGGGCTTCTTTGAGCTAGAAGGTTATCATTGTCCATCTATGTACAGTCTATGATGGTTATACAGGCTGCTGGGTTCAAAGTAGCTGTATATAGTCCAGAAGTTATGTAGTTTTCTTAAGATACGGTATTGGAAGAATATGTTAACTGTGCAATCGTGATATCCCACAGTATTATTGTGATAATTTTCATCAGGGAAAGTGAAAGGCATAAAGCTTGTGACTCAGAGTAATAATGACAGAGCAGTGGAGCAGGTGGAAGGCAGGGCTCCTCCCTCTCTGTTCAGACTGTATACATCTCCCTGTTGTCCTCCTCACAGCAGGAAACTATTGAAACAGCAGATAGAGACACTAGGAAAAGGCAACTTGAGAATTTAATACTAGTTTTGACTGTGTTACAGATATATAAGATCACTATAATGTGGTATTTACTGTTTATATCAGATTAACAGTTGTAAAATATTGAAAATAGACAGTAAAAGTTCTGTATCTTTGCTTGGACATTTAAAGTTATTGATAGTTCATTCATCTAGCAAGGATATCCAAGTATGTTTTCTTTCCCCACAAAACTTTTTTAATAAGATAAGATAAGATAGAATTTATTGATCTCAAACAGGAGAAATTTACATTTGGCATGGATAGAATCACTCAGATTGTGCAAAAGACAGAAGTGTGCAAACATGATAAAGGCAAAACATAGTCTTTTCCGGATATATTATATACAATAAAAAAGTGGCAATTAAAGAAACAGTGGCAATAGTAGTGTAGGTTTTGAAATGATTAGAAATGTAAATGATTAGAAACTGAGATTGTTGCTCCCCCACGACACAGAAATAGATACAGTAGATAGATACTTTATTGATCCCCGTAGGAGAAGTTCAAGTGTCCAGTAGCAGCAAAAACAAAATTGATCTAAAAAGTTAAAAATAGTAATAATCAGCAACAGCCCCTCAGGTCACAGCAGCAGAGGTGGAGTAGCCTCTGGGTGGAGCAGGACAGATCACAAGGTGGAGTAGCCGCTTGGTTCGGACCATTTTCTCTGCCCGACCCGCCTGGGAGTGCTTCGGTCCTGCACCGGACCTGTCCACGTTCAGCGGCCACTGGTCCACGTTCTGTAGCTAGCTTAGGTCCTGGATCATTAGCCTGTCCGTCCGGAGGAGCGGATCCCTTTCTCATATGGGTCTCCCTCCCTGTGGGTTTCCCTAGTTCTCCTCCAAGGTTTCTCACTTTTTCCCACTGGGTTTTTTAAGAGTTTTTCCTTGTCGATGCAGGAGGGTCTTGTTGGACAGTTAGTGTCCAACAGAAAGGATTGGTGATGATCAGGACACTTTAGCATTCTACAACATGTATGGACATTTTCTTCTGTGTGTGCTTTATACTGTATTCTTCATGTGTTTTAACTGTTGATTCTCTGACCTGTGTTGGTGATTTCAATGGTTTTGTTAAGTCCTCTGAGATGACTTCTGTTGTGACCTAGGGCTATACAAGAATAAATTGTATTGTATTGTATTGTGTATTGTATCTAGTCCGAAGTAAAATGCTAAATGCTTCATTAGCATTTTTCAAAAAGTTAGCATTCCTCCAGTGGATTTTAACCTGATCCGCTTGGTTCGGACCATGAATCCTCTCTGCTCCGGTCTGGACCAGTGTCAAACCATCAACGCTGTACTGCTGCAACATCTCAGGTAGAAAAAAACAATAAAAATAAAAATTCAAAAGCACAAAACAACAACTGTTTCAGAGCTACTTAGGACTTGCAGCCGTTTTCCAGCGCACTCTAAAAGAAATGGATTAATGAGACAAAGATGGATGGACGGAGGAATTGAGATTGTGTAATTTTAATGCTCTGTTTCTGTGTAATATAGCTCTGGTTTCACATGTATTTGATCCCCTCCCTCTCCCTCATGGCAGGTGAGCAGCAGAGACCCAGCAGCAGCAGCTGCAAGTCCCTCCTCGGACTGTCCTCCTCACCAGGCCTCGCACTCCCCCTCCTCTGTGCCTGAAGACAGCGCCCCCTACCTGTCTCCAGCCTGCCAGCCCTGCCAGCCCTGCCCCACTCCCTGCACCTGCTGGCACAAGGTACACAGCTGTCTCTATGACTGCGAATCAGTTCAGTTTGCAGAAGGTTTTTACTTAATGTTTCGACTTGGGCGGCCGAGTGGATGCATGTTCTCCCCGTGTCTGCGTAGGCCTTGGTCGGTAAAAATGCGCCGTATGAATAAAGATTACTTACCTACTTACTTACTTAATGCTGGGTTGCCTGTCGTTATTTTTTTCTGAATAAAATGTTGTTTGTCAGAAAAAGCATTATAAACTCAAAATTAAATGCATGTGAAAACTAGTGGTAGAATCGAAAGGTTTTGAGAGTGGAGGAGCAGTTGCTGTAGATTTATTTATTTAATATGGCTTGCTTCTTGAGATAAATCAACCCTCACTTCATCTTTTTTTTGAGGGGATCCTAGATGGATTTTGTTACATAGTAGTTACATTTTTGTGGTTTTGAAAGTTCTGTACCCAGCTTTACTACAATACAAAGATCAGACAGAAGAAAGATTATACAGTAATTGTAGTCTCTGAATGTGTTTTTTCTTTCACTTTTAATTATACATATCCCAAAAAATGTTTGATGCGGTTAAAAACGTCTGTTCAAAGCTTTTTTTCTTTTGAATTATGTTTCCTGTGGCCAGTTTTATATAACATTCACATTGCCTCTTTTCGGATGATGCAGTTTTGGGCCTGGCAACCTGGGTGAATAAAACAAAACAAAATACCTAATAAGCCATAATAAGGCAATCTCATGGAGCGCTGAGGACATAGGTGTGAGTAGAGGTGCTGCTTGTCTTCCTGATTTTTTTCATCTACATAAATGATTGAAACTTCTCTTCAGTCTGGCTGTTTTGAAGAGTTGAGAATAGAACCAAATAGAGATTGCAATTTTTTTTTATGTTTTTTTACTAAAGTGTGTTTGATGGACGATCCTCTCCCTCCACACCTGTCCTCTCCCTCCACACCTGTCCTCTCCCTCCACATCCGTCCTCTCCCTCCACATCTGTCCTCTCCCTCCACATCTGTCCTCTCCCTCCACATCCGTCCTCTCCCTCCACATCTGTCCTCTCCCTCCACATCCGTCCTCTTCCTCCACACCTGTCCTCTCCCTCCACACCTGTCCTCTCCCTCCACATCTGTCCTCTCCCTCCACATCTGTCTTCTCCCTCCACATCTGTCCTCTCCCTCCACATCTGTCCTCTCCCTCCACATCTGTCCTCTCCCTCCACATCCGTCCTCTCCCTCCACATCCGTCCTCTCCCTCCACACCTGTCCTCTCCCTCCACATCTGTCCTCTCCCTCCACATCTGTCTTCTCCCTCCACATCTGTCCTCTCCCTCCACATCTGTCCTCTCCCTCCACATCTGTCCTCTCCCTCCACATCCGTCCTCTCCCTCCACATCTGTCCTCTCCCTCCACATCCGTCCTCTCCCTCCACACCTGTCCTCTCCCTCCACATCCGTCCTCTCCCTCCACACCTGTCCTCTCCCTCCACATCTGTCCTCTCCCTCCACATCTGTCCTCTCCCTCTACATCTGTCCTCTCCCTCCACATCTGTCCTCTCCCTCCACACCCGTCCTCTGCCTGCACACCTGTCCTCTCCCTCCACATCTGTCCTCTCCCTCCACACCTGTCCTCTCCCTCCACATCCGTCCTCTTCCTCCACATCCGTCCTCTTCCTCCACATCCGTCCTCTCCCTCCACATCTGTCCTCTCCCTCCACACCTGTCCTCTTCCTCCACATCCGTCCTCTCCCTGCACACCTGTCCTCTCCCTCCACTTTCCTCCTCTCCCTCCACATCTGTCCTCTCCCTCCACATCTGTCCTCTCCCTCCACATCTGTCCTCTCCCTCCACATCTGTCCTCTCCCTCCACATCTGTCCTCTCCCTCCACATCTGTCCTCTCCCTCCACATCTGTCCTCTCCCTCCACATCTGTCCTCTCCCTCCACTTTCCTCCTCTCCCTCCACATCTGTCCTCTCCCTCCACATCTGTCCTCTCCCTCCACATCTGTCCTCTCCCTCCACACCTGTCCTCTCCCTCCACACCTGTCCTCTCCCTCCACATCTGTCCTCTCCCTCCACATCTGTCCTCTCCCTCCACACCTGTCCTCCCCGTCCGCATCCGTCCTCTCCCTCCACACTGTGGTAGAAGTGGGGTTGCCGTACAGGAGGCGCTTGCCAGACGCACTACTCTTCATGTTTTTAGTAGTAGTGGAAACCGGAGCAATCGGAGAGGAAATTTACGCAGACACTGAGCAAGTAGTGGGAGGGAGGCGTGAGGTCAGAGAGTGTTTGGGCCTGTGTCAAGTGTGTGTGTTGTGTGTGTGTGATATGTTGGGTTGTGTTGAATGAGTGAGAGGGGTTGGAGACAATTAGGTGTCTGCTTCGCCCAGCCTCTTTTTCAAACAGTTTATTTCTGTTTACGTTTTTTAAATTGTGTATCTTGTTCATTGTTTATATTGTTTTCTTTTGCACAACGCTTGAAATATATTCTTACTACTACCACTATTACTACTACTGGGAGAACATGCAAACTCCACACAGAAAGGCCCATTCTGGAGGCCAAATCAAACCCAGGGTAGTGTGGTTTATCGCTGTTTTGCATTTGATTCCTCCTGCCTTTGTGACAAGAGTACACAGTTTGCCGCTCTGCTCCTTGTGTCTGCTGGTCTGTCTGTTAAAACGTGTGTGAGCAGTGCAGGGAAAGTACCCGGCTCAAAGAGGAGCGTTTGTATTTAGTGTTTTGTTGCCCTTGGCTCCTGCTTAGTGCGGGTCAGCACATTTCTGTATGCTGAAATCAACCCGCTGTGGTGAGTGCGTCTCCAGTGAATCCCCAGGAAGCTGTAAATGTTGGCTCTCTTCCTTTTGCTCAGCTCTGCAGCCAATGACAGGCTTTCACTGGGAAATAAAAACACTCTATCTGGTTCACACAGCCTTTTTGCAGTCGCTGTCACCTCACTCGAAACATTTTACAGCAGAAGTCTTTACAGAGCAGTCTTGACCTCTTGTGAGAAAAGATACTGGCGGCGTACTGCTCAGTGCACACTGAAAGAAGTCTTCAACACCTTGTAAACATTTAACGTGACTCTTCTCACCTCTGCTCAGGCGCTCGTCTTGTCTGTCATGTCTTTCACCCTCACAAGTCGGCCTGTCACTGCTCTCACGTAGCAAGTCCACTCTCCAGGGACTTGAGTTTCATATATTGTTAAAATAAACATGTTGATGAGCTCATGGAAAAGGATTTGGAGTGTGTTGGTCATGTGTATGTCATGTCCTATGATGAAGAGTCCGTCTGCGATTCGCAAGAGAAGTCAGAGAAGTCACTTTGCAAAAAAGTTTGACCCAGGCTACACTTTTTTCTTATTCCATTTGGTTATTCCATTACCAGTGAAGGGATGTATCAATCAATCAATCTTTATTTGTAGAGCGCCTTTCCTACACAAGGCACACATCCTCACGTAAAACAAACACCAAAATCACCATTAAAAACACAATTCAAATCACACAGGTAATTAAAAAAACATTAACATATTAAAATCATGCAAGGGATTACTATAATAAATAACCACAATGCATTAAAGTAGAGATAACATCCTTCAGTTGTATGCAAGGGGCAAACAGAACTGTCTTTAAGCCTGGAGTTGAACATTGTCACAGTAGACGCCTCTCTCACATTTTCAAGGAGACTGTTCCAGATTTTAGCCGCATGAATCTGAAAACTCTGGGCAGCAGCAGGAGTCCAGTCCCTGTGCTCCTCAAGAGTCCCAGCCGGTTCATATGGCACTATTATGTCACAGATTTTGGTGCATCTACTGTATATAGTACACTGTTGTTGAAAATAGTTTCTCTGGAGGAGTCATCATTATTACAGTAACCACTTTCACTGCATCATGATTGAAACACCAGCTGTGGAATGAACAAAAAACAGCCGTAGTCACTTAAAAAAGCTGAGCGTGCGTCCCGTAATGGTGCAATAAAGTGATGAATACAGTGGCCAAACACGTGTCTGTGTTCTGCCACTCTCCTTCACCCTGTTAATGGTTCCAGGTAATGAACTAGAGTAAGACATTCTTTATTTGTCCCGCAGAGGGGAAGTTTCAGGGTTGCATCACCAGTTACAGAACAGTAGGAATGAGGAGCACACACAGCACAAGGTAAATGAACACAGCACAGGATAAGATAAATGCTCTATATACTACATAACTCTATACTAAACTCTTTACTAAATAAAATAACCATCTACAATAAGGAAGCAGTCTAATCTATTATAAGAAGCAAGAATGAAGCGTAAAATCTCTGACTTTAGCATAACAAAGAAGTTGTATAGTTGTGTGTTTACATCTGTACATGTTAGCAGGGTCTGGGACACATTGACAGTAACACACGTGGTTTCATTTTGCACATACGGACATTATTAAAGTTATTATTACACAGATGCGTAAAGTAAAGTGACAGTAGACACATGTGGTTTCATATTGCACATTCTGACATTGCACAAATATATGAGGTCGACAGTGTTTGTTCGTCTTCGTTGTTCGCTGTACAGTCTGACAATGGAGTCAAAGAACCTCCATTGTTGGACCACTTTGTTATTCTGTCCTCTACATTGTTGTGGTCTCATTACTGGTGGATTATTTACGTGGTCGGAGCCAGCGTGCAGGTTGTGGGTTGCTTCTAACTTTTTCCAGATTCTTCACTGTATTGTTCCATCACACACATGTGCATGACATGAGTTTTTGTTTAAAGTTCCTGAACGTTTTTGAAGCTATAATAAAAACTGCTGTGTTACATTTCCGGAAAGGGCTCATCCCATTCCACGTTTGTTTGTTTTCGACTGGTGCAAGGATTTAGTTGTGATGATCTGTATGTTTGTGATTTATTCTCATTACACAGCTTGGAGACTTGTTGCCCTTTCAGAAATAGATCATATTTTTTTTTTTTTTATAGGTTTTCACTTCAGTTTGATGGGACACTGAAGGAGATTTATGCACATTTATGGACATTGGTCATCCTGCTCCCTATGGCTCTATGGCTCTATGTGTTTGTCATTATTGCATTTCCTGTGTGTTTGATTCTATGCTCTGTTTTTGTTGAATCATCAACTTTGTAAAGTCCCGTGAGACGACTGCTGTTCAGATATAGGGCTATAAATGAATTGAAATACCTAGTTTGGGATTAGGATGGATGGATAGAATTTCTTTGTTGATATTATGAATGGTGTGTTAAAATAAAGTGTTTTTGTGATTGTCAGAATGTCAACAGCCGAGACGTGGTTTCTGCTGCATGTGTGGAGCAGACCCTCGTCCCTCCTCGTGTGGACGTCCCGCCTCTGTCCCCTCTTCCTCCTGCTCTGCCCACTGCCCACAAACACGACACGGGGAAAACATCTAAAGGTACTGAGCTGATGAGTGAAGTATTCAAAAACGGCTTAATACGGGGTTATGGATTGTAAAATAGTCTCAGTAACTGTCATGTTATGATAGATAATAACATTAGTAATGTGTAGCCTATAATAGTGTAGAGCCAGTGGTTACCATAGTGACTAGTGCAGGTGTCACAGGTGCAGACAGAAGCTCAGGTCCGACATGATGCAGCCTGAACTCTGCAGCTCAGACCAAGAATGCTGCCTGAAGCGGAGGTGTGTATGTGTTTGTGTGTGTGTGTGTGCGCGTCTATATGTGTGTGCAAGTGTATGTGTGTGCATGTGTGAGGTTTTTAGTATATCTGTGTGTAGGCGTTCATGTGTGTGTATGAGTGTTTGTGTACGTGTGCGAGTGTATGTTTTTATGTGTGTGTGCATCTGTGTCTGTGTGCATGCCTGAGTGTGTGTATGTCTGAGTGCGTGTGTGTGCGTGTGTTAAGGTGTTTGAGTGTTTGTGTGTGTAAGAGACTGTGTGTGTATCAGGTGGAGCCGCATCATGTTGAATGTTTTTTGGCACAATCAACAGTTCTGCAGAAACAAAGTAGATGAAAGTACATGGCCCCATTGACACCATGAACCATGTCTGCGTGAGCTGGACTAAAAAGCTGGATGCAAAAAATATAGTGTTTTGGACTTTCTGGTGAGTCCGTAATCAATACAAGATGCTGTTTTTTTTTGCGATTCTTTCAAAGCACATGTTGTTATTCTGCTGACTGTGCTCTGGGTGTTGAAAAATATTCTGAAGTCTGAAGATTGTGTTATAAACAGAATAAACCTTAGCATTCTAAATAATCACAGCACAGTAGTCGCTCACATAATTCACCTTTCGCAGCTTTTCAGGATTTTTATAACATACACAGACATGCAGCTAAAACATGTGGATTCAGTAATAACAGTTACTATCAAAGGACTGAATTACTATTGGTACAATCACATACAAGACATAGAGGGTTATTTACAACATCATATACAACATATACATCATATAACCGCCTGTATGACGTCACGGTTACATTTATTTAAAGTCAGGAAAGCGTATGTGGCTTGTGTGCTCCACAGTGGTTAGTTCAAAGGACGTCCGCAGTCTTCCCGTAGCCCTCAGTCCTGCCCCTTCCTCTGTAGTTTACAATGTATGCACACCTTTTGACAGCTGCAGCAGCGCTCAGACCTACAACTAACAGGTTTGATGTGTCTGCAATCACTCTGAGTTCAAGTGGTTAGAAAAGTGTAAAAGATATGGCTGCTACTTTTGCATAATGTGGGTTATAATTATATGTAAACCCTGCGGAAGGGACCTCTGCACATTGGTCACTCAGTTTTTTGCACAGCTAAAGAGAATTACTTTGAACCTGGATTTGACTGTCAGAGTAGAAGCCTGTCCTACATTATCAATAAAACTGATGTTAGCTGCACAAATCTGAAATGCTGCCTTCCCTTAATGTCTTTTATGCCAATGTATTAATAGTAATTTAGTAATTTGATAGTAACTGTTATTGCTGAATCCACATCATCCTGAGTGTTTTGGCTGCATGTCTGTGTCTGGGACCTGCAGCTGGATGAACACACACACACCTGCATAACTTTCCCATATTTTTAGCTCAATTATCAGCACCTACAATCTAATGACACAAGTGAAATGGTGGATGAGCCGTCCCAACTTGCCTGTCACCCCAGGCAACCAGAAAGAAAAGGAGACTGTTGAAAAAGCAAATAGGGTCATTCCCCAAGCATCTGATATTTAAGAACGTGGATTAATGGACAATTTTCCTTGTTTTGGTCAAACTTTTAAAGGGGTCTAGAGAATATACATTAGCCACACTTACTGTACATATGTGTTGAAAGAACAAGTTTTTATTCCATGGTTCAGATTTGTATTTATCCACAATGAGCCAAGTCTGAAGGAATGTAACTTGTAATGAGTACTGAGTTAAATTATTATCATATTTAATAAACTGTTGATAAAATATGTGACAAAATGTGTTTTGTTTTAGTGATGGTTGAAAGGGTGATCCTGAGGGGTATCACACACAAGCCCGAAGAGAGCACAGAGCTAATATTTGAGGTAAATAAATCAGATAAAACATAGATAATAATGATTGCTTAATGTTTTCTCATAATTTTTTTCAGACACAGTGGTCGGATGGATTTGTTTCCTCTGTTATGCGAACTGAACAAGAGGTGACAGAACTGCTTTCACAGGTTAGGACTCGACCGCATTTATTCCTCCTGCATTTACCTTGAGATTGTTTTTATAACGTCATACTGTTCTCAAAGCTCTCACAGGTGTTTGCCGATGAGGAAGTGGAGAATGTGCCTCTTCAGAGCATGGATCCCAGGTAGATCAGCGTCTCTGTGTCCATCGTTTTAATAATATCAGAATGGGCTATTTTCATTTTGTTTGATTTCTATATTTTAACCTTTTTTTAACCAGGAAAGTCCCATTGAGATTAAGAACCTCTTTTTCAAGGGAGTCCACATGTGTCCACTGTCACTTTACGTAGTCCCTTCGTGCTGCTAACATGTACAGATGTACACATACAACTATACAGTATATTACTTGCACTAGGACGGGGATCTCCAACCTTTTCCCTGGGAGAGCTACTTTTCTGGGACAAAAGTGGCAGAGAGCTACTCCTTTTAGACATTCGCTATAATGGTGAGCTACAGTGGAGAAAGTAGATTTGATCTTGATTTGAAAACATTTCTTAAAACAACGGAATAAGCTTTAGTGTTATTTTGAGCCCAGTTATAGCAAATATATTTCTTTTCCATTAATATTGTTTGAAGACTGTCAAAATGTTTTAAGCAAATTTGGATAATTTCTAGAGTTTTTATATTTGCTGAGCTATAAGTTGGAGATCCCTGCACTAGGATAAACGGTATTTTATACTTGCTTGATCTTGATTTTAGATTTTCTCCTTCGATATCATGTCATGCAGCTCTCTTAATCCCTTGTCATAAACTGGGACACAAAACAAAGAGTATGACGTGTCTCTGTGCGATTGTGCCTCTCCTTCAGGTGCCTGAGCACTCTGCCCTCACACCTGCTGCAGCACCACAGTGTCCAGTGGTTCTTCTCAGGGTCTCACTCGCCCTCTGCCCCAACTGCAAACGCCGCGACACTCCTGCTCCCGTCACAGACCACTGTTTCTACGGCAACCACCTGTGCACACCCCCCCTGCTCAAGTGAGTACTGCCTCGGAAGCTAAGCCGGGCAGGGTCTGGTTTGTGCTGTGATGGGAGACCACGGGCAGCAGTCCCACTGTAAAATAAATGATAAATAATTTGACACACAAAATCACCAAGAATTAAATTTAAGTAATCCTAAAGTTATATTGGCGCATCAACAAATAAACACAAACACATTTTATATTTATGAATGGTGACAGACATCGAGTCCGTACAGTTGTTGTGTCATTGGGAAAGACTCTGAATGATGATCTTATTATAGTTATTGTCTGAGACTGAAAGATGCGTGTCCGCAGGGAGGCTCTGTCTGTGTTGTGAAGGTGTTAGAAAGATCTGCTTCTATTTCGGTCTGGAATCCATGATGGCATGTTAGTGTTGGAGGCCTGTGACTTCATGTCCAGAGTGTAGATCTCTGAGTGTGACTTCATCTGCTGGTTATTAATAAATCTTATGAGCTGCATTCGGAGATCCCAGACAGAGCTGAAAAAACATATACAGTACATACAGTACATGATATGACTTTATACTTACTATACTATACTTTATACTTTATACTGTGTGTGTGTGTGTGTGTGTGTATTGTATATATAATTATAAATGTGATTTTGGGGGGTCTGTGGGGAGGAGGGTTTAGGGCTGGGCATGTTGGATTGTTTTTAACTAAACTGTAAAGCACTTTGTGTTACACTTTTTGTATGAAAAGCGCTTTATAAATAAAATTTGATTGATTGATTGATTGATACATTAGCTTTAAAAATACGATACAAATCCACTTTGGTTGCACTATCACTGGTTTGGCTAACATTGTTTAGATTGGTTAGGACTGGTGCTAACCAGTGGGACCAGTGGTGGGACGCCTTCCTGGGGAGGTGTTCCGGGCACGTCCCACCGGGAGGAGGCCCCGGGGAAGACCCAGGACACGCTGGAGAGACTATGTCTCTCAGCTGGCCTGGGAACGCCTAGGGGTCCCCCGAGCTGGAGGAGGTGTGTGTGGATAGGGAAGTCTGGGCGTCTTAGAAGTCTGCTTAGACTGCTGCCCCCGCGACCCGGCAACGGATAAAGCAGAAGAAAATGGATGGATGGATGGAGGACTGGTGCTGAACTGTTGTTGCGTCCTTAGGCAAGACACTTTATCCATATAGTAGTAGTAGTAGTTTATTCGGTCAAGCATAGAAAAACAAAGTTACAGTTAACTGTCAACAAAACAACAGATTTATAATATGCGACCGAAGGGTTCCGGCTGAAGTTAAACTTATTTCACCTGATCCAGTACAAGAAAACCGATAGTTTCCATAGGAACACAAAATAATCTAAGCTGAAAAACAAACGGTACAAAGTGATACAGTATCAGCAACGTCCTGTAACGACGAGTAACAAAAGGAAACAAAGGTTTAGCCTACAGCCAAGTTACAAATATTAAACCATTGTTCGGTATTTATCAAGAATTTTGGATTTAATCCCCTTTTTAAACGATTTCAGTGTTTTTGCGGTTTTTAAATGGTCATCAAGAATGTTCCATAATGTGACTCCGCTCACAGAGACGCATCTACTTTTTATGTTTGTTCCTGCCCTGTCTTTTTTGAAATAACCAGTTCCCCGAAAGCTGTACTGACTTTCTCTTAGTTTAAAACGCCTCTGAATACAAGGTGGACTAAGGTGGTTATATGCCTTGTACATGACAACCAATGCATCAATATTGCACAATTGTTGCCTGGGTGCAGCCAAAATTGAGCCTCGCCTAAATCATTTTGTGAGGATGACGTATTATTGTTGATTGTCAGCCAAATTATTGTTTGGACTATCTGATTTATATAAATATATTGTGGTTAAAAATGCAACCGTTTAGATTGGTGGTTTTAGCCAAAAGATTGTTTGGACACATAACTACCAACCACTATATCTTAATACAGCTTCAATGATTTTCTTTTCTTCTCAGATCCTGGGTTTTTGGTGCAGCACAGAGGCGTCAACAGGTGTGAAGAAAGAATATTAGTTGTGTATGTATTGTTTATTTGTGGTTATGTACCGTTATCATCCTTCTGTTTCAGGGCAATGTATAAAGTAGCCAGTGTCTTGCCGGTGGTCAGCTCCCACAGCTCTGTTATGGCTCGCCCTTCTCTCCCCATCTTATCCCTCCCCCCTCCTCTCCCACAGGCCTTCCCTCTCCCCCCTCTGCCTGCAGCCCTCCCCAGCTCAGATGAGCCCCTCAAACCGGCCTGCTTCCCCCATCATCACCCTCAGACTCCCCCCACTCAGCCCTCACCCTTCTCCCAGTCGCTGCCCTTCGCCCAGTTCCAGTCACGTCCAGGCACGTCCCACCTGCCTCCCCCCACACACCCCCAGCCCGGCGGCCCCGACCAGAACGGGATCCTGGACTGGCTCCGGAAACTGCGGCTGCACAAGTACTACCCCGTCTTCAAGCAGCTGACCATGGAGGAGGTATGACATTTGCACTCATATTTTGTAGTCATAGTGGTTAGCAAGAAGCTCCTGGGTTTGATTCCACCTACAGGCCAGTCTGTGTGGAGTTTGCATGTTCTCTCTGTGTCTGTGTAGGTTTCCTCCTGGTGCTCCAGTTTCCGCTACCATTAAAAACTTGTACAATAGGTCTGGCATGCGTCTCCTGTATGGCAACTCCACTCCCATCTCTGTGTGGAGCGAGAGACAAAAAGCCCAAAAAACCTCAAATTGTAAAGCGCTTTGTGACTCTGGTCTGTGAAAGGCGCTATATGAATAAAGATTACTTACTTACTCACTTACTTAGGTTCACTTTTCACAAACACACACATAAACAAACACGGTTTCAAGTCAAAAACTGAAATGAAAAATAGAAGAACAGCTTTCCCATGGAGAGCTCCATGTATGAACATATCTACAGTATACAGGTCATAAGCCACTGCTGACGAGACAGTTCTTAAGGGGGCTTCCATCTTGTGGCCACAATCTTTTTATTGGTCCGAGCCGAGAGTCAAAGTCATTCAGAAGGCGGATGTAATTAACACTATTCATGGGTTTCAAATTCTAAAAGAAATTGGCTATAGCAGTTTGTCTTCAAAATATTTGTAGGGCCCGTATGTATAGTAGAGAAGGACCCTATATGGAGGTATTTACACATACCAGTACAAAGAACAATCCCCCTTGTAATCCCCCATGGTCCTTCTTTTGTCAGAGGAACAACCCTGTCCCAAAAGTAGCTGGTCAAAGTGCTTCTGAAGTCTGTTTTGTCTGGAGCATTGACATAAACCAACAAGACAAACACAATCATTTCCCTGAATTTATATCCTTATGAGCGGCACTGTCATTTATTGTAATCAAAATATAGTACTGCTAAAGCGAACCAATGAAGCGCCTCAGGCAGACAGAGTGACGCAGGATACAAATATTAAAAATAGTGAAAATGACTCATCTCAAGTAAAGCCAAACTGTCCATGTCCTCAAATGGTCTAAAAACTTTCTTTTTGGAGAGACTCTGCCATACTTAGTCAAATTAATTCAACCTGTGGATCAACAAAGTCTTCAGTGTAATAAAGAATATTTCCAAGCAAAGTCAGTTGCGCTAAAAAGGTCACCAATGTGTGGCCCCTGTCCCTAGTTCCTGTTATTTGGGACCCCAAATGAGGTCCCTATAGTTAAGGTTTTTGTAGTGCAGGTTCCTATTCAAGATAAGAAGCAAAGGGCATTCAAACAATTTCATCTGGTCCATGGCTCATCTTCCAAATACAAATATAAAGAATTAATTTCCAAAAACAAATATCTCTGTATTTGTCAGAAAGTTGTATTCTTCTAGTTACAATCTTAAACATGTTAGATTGTAAGCCTTTTTTTATGTTCTTCTTAAACCACGTTTTGCTAATTAACTTTTCTCGCTTACTGCTTCAGTCTTGGTTTAGGCTTGTTTTTTATTTTTTATTTAAAACATCAACAACTATATTTCTCTGTTTAATCATGATGTGCGTTTTATCTGTCTCAGAGGCTGAAAAATGCCCTCCTCCTGAAAATGAAATTGAATTATCTGCTGTTGTGGAACAAAGTTTGATGATTTTTTCCTTTTTGCAGTTCTTGGCGTTGACAGAGGAGGACCTCAACAAGTACGACCTTACTCAAGGAGCCAAAAAGAAACTGAAAACACAACTGGAGCTGCAGAAGTCTGTGGAGTAAGTCATATATTTATATTTTGGTCTTTCAGTTCTAGTCCAGACCCTGTCTATTTGAATGACAGGTTTATCAAACATTAGTTATTGTGCTATACATACTTTTCTATTCTCTGGAGATTAAAGTCTGCCACAACATCTGGAGAAAATCAAGTGAGCATTTTATTGGTAGAAAAGGGTTCAGAACTTCTCTCTAATTGAACAGTTCTTTCTTTCTTTGCAAACATGTTACCGCATTTGTCCTTTTAGATATTAAAGTCAATGATTTTACTTTTATTATTATTTGTGCATAAACATATTATCGTTTCAGTATTTTTTTAAATGTGTATTCCCATTTACTATTATAGAACATGAAGAGATATTAGTATTGTGTTTTTGCCTTGTTCATTGTATTCATTATGCACTTTGGCCTCAGCTTTAGTCTTTATCACTTTTTATCAGATAAACTGTGGGAAAGAGCAGTCATGTGGTTGCATTTATTACAAATATCTGTTGGATTTAGGAGTGGGAATCTTAATCTAATCGTTGAATAAGAAGTTCCACTCTAACTTGATCTATTAACAGAAGAACGGATCAACAGGGTTTGTCTAAAAAGTGCTAATAGTAAACTAGAGCTGAGCGATAAGATAACTATCTGAAATACATGTGCAAATAACCAACAGGCAAGACAGCTTTCCAAAGGTAATCCTGTATTATCTTTCAATCAAGTTTCCATTGTGAATATGCAAGCGGCCACTCGTGTGTGCATGTTAAAACAGGAACTCTGGTGGAAAGATTCAGCTGAGGTTTTCCATGAAGAGGACAAGAGCATTAATGCATGATTGATGTCCTGTCTCCCCCTGGTGGTTTATAGGAGAATAGGAGTCTACAGTCAGAGTTATGTAGCAGGATGATTTCAAGATAATATATGCGTTAAAAAGTTATGTAAGGCAAAATAGAAAAGCTTGATTTTACATGTGTCACTTTTATTTTGCCGTATGTAGTGGGTTGGTTTGGCTTCTTGGTTAGTTTGGGATCAAAACATTTTGAATTATCCTCACTTTTCTTTCCAACATTTATTCAGAGCTATTCTATTTTTTCTTATTGCCTTTATTTATCTTTGTACAAGGGCTGCAAAATATGAGGAAATATTGTGATATGCAATATTACTTATTTTATATTATTATATTTGTAACTTTTTTTTGTACATTCTAGAACGATCAATATTCAGTGAAAACCAACACTTAAAGTCTATGTATGTGTGTTGTATATGATAAAACCAATGACAAATAGTTTTTACAGTTTTAGCTATGTTTTTTTTAATATGGAACTGAAAAAAATAAATATTTATATATATATATTTCATTTCATTTCATTTCATTTCATTTACATCCCTTTCGAAATGAAATGAAATGATATATATATATATATATATATATATATATATATGTATGTATGTATGTATGTATGTATGTATGTATGTATGTATGTATGTATGTATGTATGTATGTATGTATGTATATATATATATATATATATATATATATATATATAATATTTTTTTTTTCAGTTCCATATTAAAAAAACCAAAACAAAAAAACATTATATGTATATATATATAAATAAAGTATCGAGTTTTTAATAATTCAAACTGTCCATGTTTCCAGCAGGGAGATGAAACTGGAGAAGAGATTATGCGGTGGGATAGCCAGAGTGACCCCCTCAACGTACGTAGGACCCTCGTCGCTCACCTCGAATGCAGGTAAGTCATGTCGGCACAGCTGCTTTGTTCTATGTTCCAAGTCAAACAACGTGTTTGCAGAGTTGAGGATCGAAGTCGAGGCAGGAGTTCACCATTCCCCGGTTTCTACGGACAGCGGCTCGACCTCGGGGTACTCCAGCTCTCCCTGCTCCCCCCGCGGACCCCTCTGCTGGGACTCCAGTTTCGACCGAACCAGGGACTTCCATCGACGTAAGTGCGACTCAGAGGCAAGCGATACAGAGAATGTCAACGTTGGCACAGAGACAACCTCAATTAAATAAAAAGAGATCTATCCAACTTTCGTTGGCCAGTTTGGTCGTATTCTCTGTCCTGAAAAATCAATGTATTTTAATTCAAAGCCATGCTCTCATTTGTCATGTTTCTGTGTATGTACAGGTGTGTCTGGTCCGGACGGCCTCAGCGCCAGCCCAGAGAAAGACCGATCCACATTCTACATGCTGAACTCGAGCTGCCCCGCGGTCTCTACACGTCCCACGGCGCAGGTGTTGCCCGTACAAACCTCCCCTCCTCCGCCTTCCTTCAGTGTCCCACAGAACTCATTCCCCCCACAGGCCAGTTTCCCCCAACAGACCCTCCTCCCACCGCACGCCAACCCCGCCCGAATACTTGCCTCCCCACGCAAGCCGAGACCTCCAGAAACTAAACCAATGGGCTTCGGAGTGGGTTTTGGCGCAGGCTGTGGTGTGAGGCTTGAGACCTTGTTCCCAGGCCTGAGCATAGAGGGGTCTCTTCCTGTACGACCCCAGGACTCTGCGGTTTGCCGTGGGTTAGTGAGCGGTGCGGTGGGACTCATGGTAGAGACCAGTTCGGCTTTAACGTCCACATCCAACAGCCATCATCACGTCTCTCACCCCCCAGTGCACTTCCACCTGTCGTCTTCATCCACCCCCGCGGCCTCTGGATCCTACTCCTGCCCCCTGGTGTCCTCTTGCACCACCCCAAAGTCGCCCACAGGACTGATGGCCACCGGGATCACGATTCCCAGAACTAACTACTACACAGCAGTCTCCAGCTCCTCCGCATGCGCTGCATCGTTAGACTGTGGTGGGTCTGACCACAGCCCCTCTGCGTGCGTCTGCAGCTCGTGTGGTTGCCGGGGTAACTGCGGTGCGTACGGGGCAGTGCCGGGGTACGCCACCGCCGGTTACCTCCAACAGTTCACGCCTGGACCCTCGCTCTTCACTCTGGGACCCCTGCTTCACCTGAGCCCCCTGATCGCCTCCTCCACCTCTGCGGGTAACGGGCCCTTCCCTTACCCAATGATGGCCCCGCCTGTATACCACCACGGCCCACAGTCACATGACCAGAGCCACTTCCAAGGCATGCTGGGGAATGCGGTCCAGAAGCACGTGGCGAATGTGTCGTGCTACAACTGCGGTGGCGGCGGGCACAGGGCAGACGATTGTAAACAGCCGTCCATGGACTCAGCCCAGCAAGGTTGGTATGAATAAAACATGTGCTTTTCTCCCCAACTCTAAATGATATCTTCTGTACTTTCCAGGTTTGTTTCGACTAAAGTACAGCGCTCACAGTGAAACCAAAGACTCTGGGGACTAAACAGCAGGGAGCAGCATAGTCCTGTTTCACCAGCTCATGTTTCTGTGAATTTGGCACTCACTTTATCAACATTCACTGGTACAAAATCTGAAAACGCTGCAAGCTTTATTACATAAGAATTTGCCTCTGGCCTGGGCTTCGCTGCAAATGTCTAGGAGCCAATATTTCTCTTCAGCTGCACTTTTAATAATGACATATCAATGTTTATTTGCATGTATGTAGGTTAGGCATGTTTGTGCAAATTATGTTTACTTTGAAACAACTTTACAGCATTGGGAGATGAGATTACGGTGAACCCTTAATTATTTGCCTAAAATTAATGTTCAATGGCCACTTATCTTCATAGTCAGATTCAGATTCATTTATTTGCCATTTGCAGTAAAACCACATAGGAAAAACTGTGCAAGACTACCCCAGTGTGCACCAGACGACACACACCAGAGCTCTTGCCATGGCGCCATGGCGCCTTAAAGATGGCCAAGGGGACTAAAGGTACAGATGGTATTTACCTGTTCTACATGCTCCAACGACACGACAAACACTCAGGTCTAGATGTTTATAAGTCCATCAATGGAAATCAGATTTCCCTCGTGGCTCTGAGGCTGTAGTACTGTCTCAGAGCCTCAGCCTTTTTATAATCAACATATCAGTTACTTGTAGTCTTTATCAACTTTCTTGCTGATGTTAACTGTTGGGATGAAAGTCTCAATTGAGAGTATCTGGCTGGACCCAGACGACAGACTCGAGGACTTTGGTCCTTTCGACACCTGCCCCCCTGGAGGGTGCAGATCAGAGGTTTTATTTATGATTTTTCTAATGTGTTTCATGATTGATTGTTAGATGTTTTATAGTTACGTTTTTTATACAACACTTCCATCAACCAGCAGTAGCTCAGGGTTATTACATGATTTTCATTACATTTTAAAATGCCTTTGATTTTTGATTCTCTGCAAAATAGCACTTACAAAATTATGGAATTTACAGTATAAGTTGAATTTCTATAGTTGAGAATATGCTGTATCTCAAAGTTTGATGGACTGATTTATTCAAGTGATGTTTTGATAAAATTCCGGTTGTGTGCCTAAAATCAACTGTTCCTGTTTTGAGTATTCACATGCACAACATCTCTGACGTATATTTCAAACTTGTCTGGAAGAAAAAAACATGCTCCAACATCAAACTGTATATTTTTTTCCTTTATTATAGTTTACAAAAACAACATAAATACACAAGAGGCTTAATGATATTGCTGTTTTCGAATGTGCAATTGAATCGAGTGGCAGAAAAGACAGCACACTCACAACAACTGTAGTTTCATCAAGTAAAATCCACAACAAATTCAAGAAACTAAATAATAAAACACTGATATAAAAACATGATTGTGAAAGAAGATTGAGACGAGAATGAACAGTTGCGTGACTCGTTACGCTTTCCCCAAACACATCGCCCTCTTGCCACCAAAGAAATAGACTAAATATTGTGTAAGAATTAGAATCATCCATTCACTCATCAAAGGTTGTCGTGTGTCCAAACTTGGTCTTCCTCCCATTAGGACATCTGTAATTCCAAAGCCATAACAAATATGCACACCAAAGCTACAATCAACAAGCTGTTTTTTCCCTAACATCTTCGTTTTACAGTGAAAATGCTTTAGGCTACAAGGTGGGAGGCAATGACAGCAAGAACTATAGACACGGTATTAAAGATCCTTCCTGTGGCAAATGCATATCGAACAAAATGGCAAGCCCTCCCCCTAGAATTCCTGTAAATATGCAAATTTTGCTACATAAAAACGTATGTACATAAACATAAAAAAAAGACTACAATACTGGAAATCCTCTGTCACTGGTATAAGAGGGTTTCATTTCAACAGTAAAGAGCAGCTTTCTCTACTGACTGGACTTTGGGTCAACTCCTGCGGTGAGTGGGCGGACTAAAGTCAGGACTATGGGCACAAGTCAAACAGGGAAAGGGTCTTCAAACTAGCATTGTCCCGAGAGGTTGGTGTGAAAAGAGGGTTCACTGTGGGGAGGGGGCACTGCCGAAGGTCTCCTGGGAGGCGTAGACCATGTAGAGGAAGCCGTCCTGGTCACGCTCGCGCTCGTACAGCTCGGAGATGGCTGCGGACACAGACACCATGCTGTGGCCGTTCACCAGCAGAAAGAAGGCCTGGTTTGAGTTCAGCTGTAGGCGCCTCCTAGTGGACAAACACACACATGTACGTAGGAGTCAGAAGAGAAAAGCAAGAACCATGACAGTAAATATTAAGCAAGAACAGATAATATGCAGTATTAATTTTCAGATAATTAAGCAGTACTCGCTTCTTTAAACTCGTGTGTAACCTTATAAGCCTTTCTCTGCAAATTCTTGATAATTGGATTTTTTGAAATCCAAGTTTAAACAATCCATCTGAATAAAAGTTTGAATGGGAGACTATACTTCTGGAAGCTGCCCCCACTTCCCAGTTCCATATGCTAAGTCTGAAGTCGAATTTAATACCTCAGAAAAGATGCCAGGAAAAATAACTAAGATACCTTTTTCATAAAATGCAGTTTAATTTTCTTGTAATAATCTGTAATCTAATTAGATATTACTTGCTATTCTTATACTTTATTTTAGAAGAAAAAGTATCCATTTAAAAAGGAGTCTTACCTAATAATCTTGATGAGCTCGCTCATGTTGACGTGGTCTGGCACCAGGAACTTGGTCTTGTCCAGGATGGGCAGCTGCTTCTCTCCTTTGTACCGCTCAATGATGACCTGCAGAAACACACACATAAGGACCAGGTCTGGCTTCAATAAACGCAATTGTTAACGCAATACAAACTAAAACTTTTCCCTAAAAACATTATTTTAATATGTTTCATGACAAACAATGTCTGTCTTGTCAATAATACACTTTGTATTGTCAATTTAGAAGCTTTCAACCAACATGCTTCAACCTTTGATCTAGTTTAAAAATGTGTCAAAAATACATTGACTACTGCTAAAGTTGTTAAACGGATACCGATATGCAAAATACACTGAAAATGACATTACATCAAAGGAGAAGTGTAAAATGTGAAAATATTAAAACAGATTTGTTTGTTGAACCAACATTTCTACATCTATCAGACATTGAAAATTGGACACGTATCGTACGCATCCCTTTGTTCCTTCTTCTGTTCAGTTTGAAGACAATTACAAAATCTCATTGTATTTCAGTGATTTTAGAAAAGTTACAGCATTTTTTAAACTACAAAACAAAAGGCCAACTAACTACTTTGAGCTATTTTGGTATATTTGTAAATTGATTTATATAAGAATGAGGTAAGAGTAAAAAAAAAGTGCTATTGTAGTTGCTGGATTGTTGTGGCATTTTGAGGCATTACCCTGAATAAGTAGAGCAAATTAAAGTGACAAAACATTACTAAATAACCATTTGGGACCGCATATTTCACGGGACAACAAATTAGCAAAACATTCAGTAAAAAGGCCCAAAAACAAAATGTATCCCCAAAAAATGACTCATAGAGCCATAGTTCCTGATTTAACTCTTAGGAAAGTGGATATTAAGAGACTATTAGACAGAGTGGCCCCTCCCCCAGTGTTCTGACCAGATAGAGTCAAGTTACACATTGACAGTGTGCATCTGCTCCATTTATCCAAACGCCCTCAGAGCAACATGACATTCAGGAAAACAGACTCGCACACATGTCGGCTGTCACCACATGGACTCCTCACAAAGAGACACTGACACACCTCACGCACAGATAACGGCCTTTTTATAATTCTCAGCTCATTTGCAAAACCAACGGCTGTGAGTTTCAGTCCTATTCAATAGTGAGTCAAAGCAAACAGTCTTCTCTGCGACAACAGGAAATATGGTCTGTTTGATTTACCCAAACTTCTTGCTGCAGCTATGCTTCTAAATCATACGTACAGTAAAACCACAGTGGAAAGAGCGGTTGGCAGAAATACGACACACACAAAAAAGAACTTACAGGGATCTTGTTAGGATGCTGTTCGCGAATCAGTCTGACATCTTCTACTCTCTGTTCTGTGAATAAAAAGATTTTTAAAAACATGATTACATCGATTTTTGTTATTTGATGTTTGCGACATTCAGATATAAAAAGTCCAGATATAAAAAGTTACTAATTCAAGTTATACAGAAAACAAGGAAATGGGAAATCCTCTTTTGCATAAGAATCTCCACTGCTGTGTCGACAATGGTAGAGTCTGGTTAAACAAGTCTGTGGTATTGTGACCTACAGGAGGTCAAAACAGCCTTTTCTGAATAATAATAAAAAAATAAAAACACTGGAAACAAATAGAACAGTGAAAACAAATAGAACAGTGAAAACAACTGAACGTTTTTATCGCTCCAAGTCTTGGCAGAGACGGATAATACGTCTTTATTCTATGTTGCAAAATAATGTGGTCTTGCAGATTTACCAGACGCTGCTGTTGTGTAATAAAACAATCCAATTATTAGCACAATTGCGCGGTAAGTCACATAATGGTTGTCACATTGCATCAGGACTGAATTTCTACAGTTGTGTAAAATCACTGACCCCAGAAGCTTCTCCTTTGTTTAAGTTTTCAAAAGTGTCATTTGGTCAAAGAGGCAAAGGGCAGCAGATAAGGTACACAGACCTAAACGGGAGCTAACAAGGCTGGTCAAAATAATGAGTGCCAAGTATTGTGATATTTATCAAAAATGTTCTCCAAACTGGAAACGACTAGCTTTCCTTTGACTGAGAAGAAACAAAATATTTTTCTACCAAGTCACACGGTTCATCTTTGGTTGCTTTGGAAGACGAAGTAACAACAAAGGACAAAAGGCCTGAGTCACTGAGTCAAAAAATGATTAAAATAAGGAAGTGTGCAGCTATTCTGAAACGCATGGGATTTTTATAATGGAATAATATGGGAATTAGTCAGCAGGGGGATTTATGTTGGTATATTCCGACATTATTCATATTTTGATGAGACAGTGGAGACATTGTTCTGACGCTTGTTTTGGGACAGGCGCCCATAGAAGCATTGCTCATAGTGGTTTCCGCCTTAATCTACTTTACAGCATCTAGATAGTGTTTATTTGGCAAGTAAACTACACATCTTTGGGAAATCGGTCTGAACAAACGCGTTTTGTTCCATGAATACATTGTGTTTGTCCCAAGAGGAAGAGTTGAAGTAACATTTTGAGAGTTCAGACCAAAGCATAGAGTCTTTATCTTATTACAAAACATTTTATCTTTTGAGCTGATAAGCTGAGAGGGGACGGGTTCTTTTCACTAAAAAAGCTGATCTAAAAATGTGACCGAGCCCAAAAACACATGTATGAGAAACACTATAGATCAAACAGTTTTGAGAGCAAGGTACTAGTCACATGGATTCCACATAATAGTGATTTTGGGGAGGTTTCAAAGTTATGTAGACCTGCTCTAGCTCTAGTATTGAAACAAAGCAGAGTCTAAATTCATGTTTTGGTTGATGTACTTGGGCCTACCTCAGTAAACTCTGAATGCCATTGATTTCAGACAAGTACAAGAGTGTTATTCCCCCAACTTCAGCCATGTGCACGGTCAAAACCAAAAACATATGCCCCTGAGCACGTGATCAGATAAGTTTTCTTCAACTTTCACATGCACTAGTTGTGTAATATTTTTTTGAACCAATAGGGTTTCACTGGGCCGGAAGTCTGGGAGCAAAGTCTTTGGGCTAGACAGAAAAAGAGGACTATATAACCTTTGATAAAACAAAAGAGAAACTATACTTCATGACCGTGCTAAAATGGTCATGTATGCAGACTGTGAGCACAGAGGACTTATGTGTTGGCCTAGAATAGAATAGGGTAAGAATAAAACCAGCTCTCTTTAGGACATACAATGATGACAGCTATGTAATTTAACTAAATTGACGAAATGCTGATTATTTAGTGTCCCATTTACAACTGGGACAGCCTGGAGCTTTTGTGACCCTCTTTAAACCTTTCCGAATGCCCCATCCCCCAATCCTGCAGCTCTCCTCTGCATTTCGACACCACTTTGTTTTCCTCAGATATAAGGCCTGCAAACACAACTACAGAGCTCGTAGGACTAAACAACTATTCCCAACAAGCATAGGGAGTTATTCTACGCGTTTAATTTTAATTCAAGTAGATTAAAACTAGATTAAACGAGTGGGATTCGCGTTTTGCTTGAATGTTTTGCAGACACATGTTTATGTAAGAAGGCCCACAGCGGCAATATGTAGAATATACAGTGTAGTCTACTTATTCAACTATGGGAGTGAGATTTTGACTGGATAAAACACGGCTAAAGCTGGCCTGACACGGTTTAAAGTAGGTTAGAAGCTTGCCATCGAGTGTGTAGTTAAAAAAAACAAACAAAAAACGCTGAGAACAATAACATTCAAAATCATAATAAACATTTGGGCGTGTGAAAAAAAACCCGTTCCGAACTTACCGAACGTCCTTCTTTGTTTGAAGGTTTTCTCTGAAGGCATAATTGCGTCAAAGTCTGGCTGGCAGCGCCTGGAATCTGAGGTAGCAAAGAATACAATTGCGACTATAATATGTCGATCTAACGCTATATTATAAAAACGATACTGACTAAAAGGTGTAGTGTAAAAAGAAGGCTTCGATGTGCCGTGGTCTCGCTTCCGAATCTACAGTGTTTGTGGCGTCGTCGTTTCCTTCACTGTGGATCAGCTCTGAGTGTTTTTTATCAGAGAGACTTCAGCAAAACAAACCGATCAGCTGACCAGTGACGTCACCGCCAGGCACCCACAGCACTAACTCAATAAATAAATACATGCATACAGAAGACTTTCAATCCGCCTTCGTTTTGATAATGTATACGCTATTTAGTTTAAAGTTTTTTTGATGATTTTGTTTTTATGGATTAAATAAAATAATATGGCACTTTCTTCAAGTCCCACACAAAATAATAAATAAACTACGCTATTAAACTAAATCGTGTATACTTGTTTAAACCAACCATTGGGTTACAATGTTTTACCGAACTGTTGGCTCATTTTTAATCCAACTGTAAAAACTGGGTTTAGAAAAAATTGGCTCGGTTCAACTTTGACTCAACATTGGGTTAAAAGTGTCTTTATGAATAATTTTAACCCAACCAACCCAACATTTTAACCCAACCGCTCTGTCATTATTAACCTAATTGTTGAGTTAAAACTTTTACCTTGCATTTTCTATTTTCTTACATGTTACCAGTGTTTTTTTCACTGTGGAGCCTGATGGCACTTGATGAAAATTGACCCACTGAAGCCTTCTTTCAAATTACCTACTGTAAATACACTTTTACGGAATGGCCTTTCTTTAACTGCCTGTTGAGGTGTTCAGATGTTTTATTTCATTGTTCCACAGTGTCTTGTTGTATTGTATAGCTTATATTACTATTATTCATGAAACAAAACAAGTTATTCGCTCCAGCTTTATGACGTTCTTCTGTCACCTCTGAAGAAAGGGAGATGGAAGGCACACTGCATGTTGTTTATCTCAACAGAAAAACAGTATTGTCTAAGAAACATTTTGTGAATCAGACCACAGCATTGTCCTTATCTTATAAGAAAACATGTGATCTTTTACATACTGAGAGCTGATTGGCTGATTGAGGGTGGTCCTCTATTTTTTATTGAAAAAGCTGACCTAAAGATGTAACAGTTTTGAGAGCAAAAAACTAGTTACATGGATTTTATTACGTTATTAAAGGATTTTTTAAAAGGATTTTGTATGTTTACGACCAAACAATGAGTGAAATGGGGAAAGATCAGAGCAATGCACAGCGAGTGAGTGTTTCACTTTATGCGGCATGGTGGAAAGCACTCTCACTTCTCAGCAAGAAGTTCCCAGGTTTAAATCCTGGTCGGAACAGGGCCTTTCTGAGTGGAGTTTGCATGTTCTCCCCATGTCTGCTACGGTTTCCTCCGGGTGCTCCGGTTTCCCCTATCACTAAAAACATGTACAATAGTTCAGGGTGAATGAGTGTGTGTTTGTGAGTGCGAATGTGGGACAAAGGACGCAAATTAGCCCAAGGCTACAATCATGAGTGATGTGTTCATTAACATGTACTGTCCCAACCAAATAAACAATAAAATAAATACAATAAAATAAATGCAGCACTATGAGAGATGCTCACTACAATTACTGCAAAGACTAAGAATGAGCAAGATGTATGTAGTTTTCTAAATTTTGAACTTTTTAGAAATCAATGTGGAACGACTTAACAGAGGATTAAAAATTAAACTTTGTATTTAAATGTGTGTGTGTGTATGTGTGCGAGTTTTTTGTATTGTATGTCTGAGTGAGATTAAGCCAAAATAAGCATCTGCTTCATCCAACCCCTTATGTTTTATTTTACTGTTTATGAAAATTTTAAGTTTGAAACAAAGACAACTACAACTAAACTTCACATTAAATAGTTCTTTCTTTCCGTACATGGTGGTGATTGCCCACTACTGTAGCCACAGCTGCCCTGGGACAGACGGACAGAGAGGCTACCAGTTTATCGGCTCTTCTGACCACACACCTCAGACTAATACTGGGAAATGTAAAAGTCATGTCTAAGGACCCAACAAAAGCTTTACAGCCGCCCCACTTTGCCCCACGGTATTCCTAGGTCTCCCATCGCAGTATTGGCAAGGCAAGGCAAGGCAAGGCAAGTTTATTTGTATAGCACAATTCATACACAAGGCAACTCAAAGTGCTGAACAAAACAAGATAAACACAGTACATTAAAATGAAAGATAAAAATATATAATCCCTCAGTTGTATGCACAGCTAAACAGAACTGTTTTCAACCTTGTCTTAAACATAATCAGAGAGGAGGCCTGTCTCACATCTTCAGGAAGATTGTTCCAGATTTTTGCGGCATGAATCTGAAAATCAGCCTCCCCATGTTTAGTTCCAACTCTGGGCACTAACAGGAGTCCAGTCCCTGTGCTCCTCAGAGTCCGGGCTGGCTCATATGGTACTAACATGTCACTAATATATTTTGGTGCGAGGCCATCATGGAGAGACTTGTACACAAGCAGAGGTTTTACTAATCAGGCCATGCCCTATAGCTTTAACATAACTGTTCTAATTTACATAATCAAAGTGAATGCATATATACACTGTGAATATATACACTCACCATATTTCTATTGTGGCAAAAACTGTTCTTCTTTCGTCTGAGTATCTTCTTCAACATAAGTTGACACTGTGATAACAGTGATATCCGATATATTTTCGTTATTGTGGTTGATAACACTACTACATTTCTAAAACAGCTTGCTTTAGAAAAGCCTCTAGTTTGAAAATCGTCTTGGCTTCCAGGTTGAGAAAAGTTTGTCTCTTGTCGCAGAATGCATTAAAATAAAAATGCAAAGGAAGCCAAACGCGCTGTCATAAAAGAGAGGTCGTTTCACTTAGTATGGTCCAGCAGATGGAGCTATTGTATTTGTGGATGACCATATGCGCATCTAAGGGCTTCGGGTTCCTGCTGTATTTGGTAATCATCGCGGCTCTATTAATAGTTGAATAATGGTCCCCTTGTGATATTCCAATGACTTTCGGGCAGTTTGATCAAGTTCTCACTAATTATATATATATATATATATATATATATGTATATATACATCACGTCACGTTCAAAGTGCAATGTATGGATTAATATGCAAACATATATGGTTGCAGTGGAGTTAAGCGTATCTATAAAAGCTTAATTCACCCTGAAGCTATTTTAACAAATTATGGAAAACGATTCAAAAATAACAAATGAACCCAGGGACATGTGCCGAGGTCAAAGTAGAATGACAAATCGCACAAATGTAGAAAATACAATATAGCTATAGGCAAAGGTTTCTCATTTGAACTACCCACACACTTGTAACCACCGTGGCTCACTATGTATTCATCCCAATCAGTTTAATCAGGGTCAATCAGCCATAATGACCATTATTCTTTATTATTGCCATCAACAGTGGCTTTGACCCACCACCCGCATGTCACTCATTACATTCTAACGTGTTAATCAACAATGTAAATGTATTGGCAGTCCACCGTAATGCAGAATATACTCAAACCCTATGCGCAGGCACAGACTCCAGCCCCCATAGTGTTTTCTCCAGGGCGCGCTCACAACCAGTGCGTCGCCAGACTTCCGCGCGCAAAATCAAACACCCACCATTCGAGTCTGGGGACACCCGGGTCCCTAAACCAAATATTTGCCATCAATATCCCTTTCCTCCCCCGCCCCTCCCATGTATAGGCTACACGCACCCGGTCTCTTACGTGCCCTTGCGTGCGCCCCGCGCTCATTACGCGCCGGTGTTTTGATTTCGTTGCGCGCCAGGAGGCTCCACAAGTGCCGAGGCGCTCTCAATCAGCGGTACAGATGGCAGAAGTGGTAATCCGTGCGATATGAAATGTTGACACTGTTACATGTACTTATAGAAGTATGATCGATAACAATAACATGTGAGGGATGTATAAGGTTCCAGAGGTGGAAGGTTGGAGCCACTGCTGTGTGGGTCCACAGGGTCAGTTTCAAGAAGAGACAGAAAGTAAAAAATAAATAAAATCAGCCCTATAGTTGCACGTTTTTGAAGAGGAGATAGATCAAATTGCATATGTAAATGTTTGAGGCTTTGTTTGCCAGACATAGAACATAAAATATTCCTTCGGCCATAATCTGTGTGAGTTAAACATGTGAAATGGAAGTAACTTTAAGAATTAGTATTTATCTATGTTTGTATGAATGATACTTATTCTGCTGCTGGACTCCTGAATTTCTCCTATAGGGATCTATATATATACATGTGTCTATCTGTTCATCTTTGCTCAATGAAATCTCCATGTGCTCCAGATTCCCTGTATATAGGCCATGGGTCAATACATAATAAATAAAGTAAAATAATACATACTGGGATGAAAAAGCTCTTTAATAGTATTTTTTAAAATGTGTATTTCAGTGTCAGTGGTACTTCAGGCCTCAATAGGATTGGAGAGACATGTGGGTTGAGAGCATTCAGCATTCAGAACTAATCAGAACCCATCATTTGTGAACAAAATGTCCTCAAATGAAGGACCTTTTCCTCTGTTGCTGTAATAGCATTTGCTAACCGAGATTCTAACTTGCTCTGGACTCAAAATCTTTGCAAGACGGGCAAATAAATAGTCATTGTCCAAAAAAAATAAACTAGACTTTTAATGATCCTAATGAAAAATGTTTGTTTCGTTCTTTAAAGAAATGAAGGTCACGTAGAATTTGAGTCTGTAATATTGGTGATGAAGAAGGTCAAGGTAATGGCAGGAGCAGTGAAGTATAGCATTTGCAACGCTATGACCATGTAAAAAGATGTGTACCTTAAACCTTTCAAATCCAGTCTTTAGGCATTTATAAACATAAAGACATTTCTAAAAGGTGCTGCGCAACTAGTTTTTAGACTAGGTCCGCAACACACTCACCAGTGAGGACAATTGTGTTTATATTGTGTAAGTACAATTAAAATAAACAAAATGTGTGACAATATATTACAAAGATACTGGCACAACAATGTCTTTTTTTTTTAAACAACCCTTATGGGACATTCTTGATGCAGTTAAACGAATCTTAATCCATGAAGGAAAAAAGAAGCCAGTTATGTCATGTTTAGGTGAAAGGGAAGAGACAAAAACAAGGACCAGAATCGTTTCCACACATATCCCACCTGTGATCATACTTCCTATGTTCATCTATTCTCGAAACAAAATATTTAAACGGTGAAAGATGCGTTACATATTTTGTGGCTCTTGACTATCATCTTTAGAATATATCGGAATAGATTTTTGGAAAAGAAAGGTTCCAAACCGACCCCTGGTCTCACTATTGTCCCCTGCTGTTGAGGGGGAAAAGATCGTCCACATTCCCAGGAAGGACAAACTTATCTGGTTGCGGGGCACAATGGTTTTTTTGAGCTTGTTTTTGTTTTGTTTTGGGCTTTTTTGACTTTACTGATCTCCTACTTTCTTTATGGGAAGATTGGTAACTTATCTTTTGCATCTGAATATTTTCTTTTCTTTTTTAATTCTTTGATAATGTTAGGATTACTTTTAACCTATTTTTAGCTAAACTGACTAAACCAAAACTAAACTTAACTTGTTAATGCCTTTCTAACTTGTCCAACTGTTCATTTTAACTGTGTCATGGGTTCAATGTTAAGAATTAAATAATGATGGGGTTGTTTTTTGAGAACATTTGCTTTAAGAATGTATAACATGCCATATAGTATCCCATATGAACCTCTTTCTATCAATGTTTGCCAGTTTCGAAAATCATCTAAATCATACATTACCCTCAAGTACGCCAAGGGGTCCGTGGCCCCCAGTTGGGAAACACTGATCCAGCAGTCCTATTACTATATGTAATGTTTAAACACAACAGAATAGGGTCACAAATAATCCTTTTTCTGAAAAATGAAAGCGTATTGAATAGACCTCACATTAGGCTCTAGTTTGCAACCGGGATAAAAACCAGAGTAATGGAAAAAGCATGATTGTGCTGCACATTTCACTTTACTCAGTGTATTTTTTTTTATTTCAGAAAATGTTAATCATGTTGGGGTCTATTATAATAACCTGGAAATGTCAGAGTAATTACACTGTGGCAAATGTTTTTCTATTGGCCAAAAGATGTGTTGTACAGACGAGTAAGGCTGTTCCAAAATTCTGTAGTCCATGCTTTCTCCTTTTGGCTTTTCAAAATCTGTATGATGTTGACAAAATAAAAAAAATAAAAAATTGGGACATGGATTTTTTACACTATTAGTACTCATGCAGACAAAAAAGAAAACCCCAATGATTACAGGACTGCTTCTTTACTAAGGTCCTGGCTGATAAGATGTGCGTATGAACCATCATGTTTACTAATTTAAGAAAAGGAAAAAAAATAAGGACCAATAAGAGGGATGAGAGATGGCTTGAAAACGATCTTTGGCTGAAATAAAGTGGATCATGCCAATTATGCAGTAGCTCTTTAACCCACGGCCCCTGAACAGCTCTGAGTACAGCAGGTTAATGGATGCTGATAATGAAGCTAAAAGCCCTCAGTCTGTACTATGGAAAATTCACCAAGGCCATTTTCATTAAGGACTGCTGCTTGCAATATAAAGGAATATGGATCAGTTAAAAATAAAATATCCATCCATCCTTTTACTTCCGCTTAATCCATTGTCAGGTTGCAAGGGCAGCAGTCCAAGAGACGCCCTTATACCCCTCTCCATGCACACTTCCTCCAATAATATATTGTGTTTTGTCAATTTAACCCTAACCCTGAATTTGGAATTTATAGTTAAAGCCGTCACAACAAGAGACTGTGGGCCCTGTATCTTATGTCATGGCTTATCCGTGTATTTCCAATTGGCTTTTCCAATGGTTTGTCTTTCATTCATAATTTTATCAGAATGTAGGCAATTGCAGACAAAAAGCTGTTGTAAAGTATCAAAATTCAATTTGTCTGAAATTCAATTTCTGACTTTGTAGAAAGTAATATAAATACTCCAGAAGACATAATTCTCTATAATATTTTGGCAATGAGCCAATAGATGCAATTTTGCTAAACATAACTGACCTAAAGAAGTCTTTAGACCACCACAGCACTGAGACCATTCCTGTGAAGGTAACAAACGCTATCTGGCTGAACACTGACTTTAGCGGGCTTAATCCTGAGTGCTGCTTTTGACACTGTCAACCAAGGGATTGACAGATAAAAGCCTTCTATGGACTTCTATGCTGTTGAAAATTAGCATGGTCTTGCTATAACACCAAAGGCAGTGCATCTGGTCTGTCCAATGTGACTGTTGTGTCCATACCAAATAAATAAATGTAAGATCCTTAGTCAGAGACTGTAGGGCTGGGTGGGTATCGCTGGCACAGCTGTAAATTGGTTTAAGTCTTATCTTGAAGTACTTTGAAGAGATTGGAATCTGTGTCTCATATCATATGGCCCTGACCTGGGGAGTACCACAGGGGTCAATCCTGGGACCTCCTTTGTTCAATATCTACATACTGCAGTTAGGTCAGTTAATATGCAGTAACAAAGTGTCCTATAACAACCCGACAACACTCAGATCTATGTCTCACTGACTGCAGGAGGACATGGATCAGTGAACTCACTCCTTCACTGCATCCAACAGATGGATGAGTGGATGCAACAACTTTCTCCGTTTAAACTCAGAAACAAACAGTCTCTTCCCAAAACCTTCAAATCAGGTTAGAAATCTAGGAGAAATAATGGACTCAGACTTGAATTTGAAAAGTCACATCAAAGCAGTAACATCAGCCGTGTTTGACCACCTAAAATAATATATAGAATATTTAGTAGCTAGAGAAAACTTGGAGATTCTCATCCATGCAGTTGTCTCCAGTAGACTACAGTAAAGGCCTGCTCACTGGACTCTCACAACAAGCTGTAAAACAGCTCCAGTATATTCAGTCCCGACTAGAACCATACAACTGAAGGATAGCATCGTGTACTGTGATTATTTATTAATGCACTGTTTGATTGTTGATCTAATTTTGTTAGGCACTTTCATTGTTTCGGAACTAGGAAAAAGAAGCTAAATGTATTACTACTAATTTATAATAATAAATAAAAGCTATTATGGCCAAGCAGTTTCCACAGCCTTTGAAAATCGTACCCAAGGGTGTACCCTCTTCCTGATTCTTTGACTAATTACCCCCAACTACGGGTTGTATTCATTGGGGCTTGCTAGTTCCATTGTTAGTTAGTAATGGAGTGTCTCAAAACATTTTGGGTGGATTTAAAACCTTGTCTGTAAATCTTGGAAAAATGAACAATCAACAAATGACTCAATTTTGGAAGTGATCTAAATCACTGTATGAATCCAGAAATTGTTTTTGCTTTCTAGTTTCTTTTGATGTTCCCATAGAGAACCTTTCATTTCAGTGTTGCAGTGCACACTGAGGAATAGTAGAAATATACGGAGCACTCAAAACGAGATCAATCATTTGAACACAAATTAAATATTAGAGAATAAAACAAATATATGATCTTATTATCTTAGCTGAAGAATAAAATGTTGTCAAGGAATCAAGTGTTTCAGATGAAGCCTTAAAATACATAAGTTGAGCATCTGAACAAACCAAGGTTCTAGATTTGTCTTTGTGATACATCTCCAAGGTCTGTCAGACAGTATAGATCTGGTCAGATTCTCTATTGTCTATTGAGTGATTCATACATGTTATTAACAATTAACAATAATAGTAGGTAAACCTCCAGTCCAGGCTTTTCTCACAAGATCTCCCTGTATTTTGCTCCATCCACAACTGTTTTCATCTACTCTGACAATCTTCTCAGTCCTGCTGAAGAAAGCATGCAGCCTCACAGCCGGATGTTGCCACCACCAGGTTTGACACTGGAGATAGTGTGAGCGGAGTAGTCAGCTGAGTTCATTTTCTGCCACATACAGTTTTTTGCATTTTGTAAAATGTATTTGTGGTTTTTCACTCAAAGATGCTTCACGTATTATTCATTAACTCTGTACACAGTGGTGGTAAACTAGTTCTGAAACCACTACTGTCCTGGAGCAGACTGCCAGGACAGTCACCGAACACACCAGACTCACACTAGACTCATAGTAGGCAATGTAGGTGAAGTAGATTTTTCTGTACAAGTATCGACACTTTCACTTAAGTACCTAAGGCTAGTCCTTTTGCTCTCAATGAATGAATATAATAAAGAAATCATGTATAATTTTGCTTTTACTAACACAACTGTGTACCAATCTGTGTTGGTTATTCACAAAAATCCTAAAATATCTTTGTGGTTGCAATCATATTTACATATTCATTGGGTTTGAATACATTTTCAAGGCACAGATAGTTATTTACAGATGCACATTATGTGCAAAAGTAACATTATATCTGTGCATCAGATACGTTTTAGTGCTGTTAAACACGCTTGTGTTATTGAGGCTGCTCTGCAACAGGAAACATTCGTGGCCTTTTCTGGATCACATTGGTTGTGCTGTTGCCAGGACGACGGCAATTAGAAAAGACCGGGTTACCGTAGCAACCAAGGTCAGGAAGAAGGCTCTGGGTTTACCTGATTGTTAGCAGTACAACAGATGCTACATATGTTATTGTGCTCAGAAGCATCAGCTGAATTACAGGTAAGTGCAGCTTCATCATTTTCCCAGTAAAACGGGGACAGGCATTACTAATAGTGAAGGAACAAAAAATACATGGACAAATTCACTTTTTATTTAGTAAAGTACAGAATTACATTATTGACGAATAATATGAGCTGCAATATAGTGCTGTTGGAGTATTGCAATGACAATGGTTTGCAAAAACCTATTTGAGTTTACCCTTGGGGGAAATGAAGGCACTTAATTGAATTGGGAGAAGAAATGATTGGCAAAATTGGTAAAATTGACAGCGACATTGAAATCCAGCTGTTTTCTTTTGCAATTTGCCTTTTTCATATAACAAAGAAACAAAAATAAAAGTGGAAAATATATTCTTAATAGTACAAATATCTTAATACAATATTTGTACTACTCCTCCCAGTGGTAGGCAAACAAACGCAAAGGATTTGAGTTTATTTCACAGGTCGATTAACGTGGCTGCAATGCTGTTAACATTATTCAACAGATACAGTATTTGGATAATTATTGATTATAAAACTAGACATTTTTGGAGTTTTCGGGATCATGGTAATTAATGCGTAAATACAGGGCCTAGTCCACAAGCAAAAAAAACCAAACAATTTCAATGTCTAATTTTGTAGTGACAATGGTTGCCTAAAGTTATGCAATTAAGAACAATGAGTTTAGCCCCTGCCCTGAATTTAAAATTCTAACATAATGAAATTTTGAACGGACAAGATCATTGTCACACGAAAAGTAAGAACACTGCAAAAAGACCCACTTTTGACCTCTTCTTGATGATTTTGACTTATTCGTGGTACATGTTTTTAAAAGATTACATTAATTTTGTCTGTAATGTACTGCTTGGTTACAGCATTGGAATAAAGGTTTTTTTCCATAGGGTTGGTTGACAATGGGGTCTTGTAGATGTAGGTCTGTCGGTTTGCCCTGTACTCTTCCTGTAATTAGCCGATTATCCCAGCATGTTGTCGACTCCAGCTTACACAAACACGCCATTATAACCACACTGACATAACCTTAAGCCTCAATCTACCAGATAGTTTTTTCCTTAATGAATCACAAGGATACAGCTCCTAGCTTCTCTCCTCACATGGACCACACCTCTCCTGTTGTGTCACCACCGGTCTATGAACACTATGAAGACTATTTCATCTTTCTGTTTTCTTTCGGTCGCATTACTCCTATGCTTTAAAAACCTGCGATAACCGGCGGGGCAAGAGAACACTTAATCCCCCCTGCACCTGCCTCCCACACTGCCACGACCCCTCACAGCCGCTCCTCCTTCTGTCTCTGGCTGTATATAATGCATGTTCACCTATTACATTCATCTATTAGCACCTTTTGGGGTCTTACCTACATTTACATATTTGTTGAAATGTGTTTGAGATAACACGTTGTGCTAGAACAGATGTCCAGTGGCTGTAATGTTCACAACAGATGGACTTTTATGTGTAAAATAGTCCCATTATGGATTGATATTGTGTCACTGCAGAGAGGTGGGATGGAAGAGGTAATGTGATTGAAGCAGGTTATCTCCAACAGTTAATTTGCCGTTAAATATCTCCAGGGTTTTTTATTGTTACACAAATCAAACAACAAAGGGTTTGGATGTTGGCAATTGTCCCTTTTTTATGTGGCATACATAGGTCTGTCTGACTTAAGACATAGCCCGTCTTGAGGCTTGTTTGACAAGGTTTGTTAAAACAGAAAGCAAATGGCAGTATTGCATTCTGGGATTTGTTTTAATACAGCCGTAGAACATCTGTGGTATCAGATCTAATGAAAGCATAAAGGCATGATATTTACCTGTCAACGCAAGTTCCCACTTCTGGTGCACTAGTGTTTATTAAAGCATAAAATAAATATAATGGGAGCAAGTATTCACCCATAAATACATTGGTTCACCTTCGGCAACAATACGAGCATACAGAAACATTTCACACTTATGAAACAATTTATTGTAATATATTATTAGAGCATTAAAAAAGTATAAAACTGAATAGTATAAAATAAACTCCTTTTAGAAAAAAGTTTAGTGGTGAGTTGGTGTTGGTCCAACTATAGAAGTCATTCTAAATGTGCAGCTTTCAGTGCACGGAGGAGAAAGAAAGCACCTTTGGTTCCTTCTGAGTGGTCCGGCTACCTGCAGCTCCCACCTCCGTGGCACATCAATCACTCTCTCTACATCCCCATTTACACTTATTCCAGACTCTCCTTCCTACAGCTCCTCTTTGTTCTGCCGGCGAAGGGGGGGAAGAGGAAAAGGCGGAATTGCTGCAATGCTGCCGGAGGGAGGAGGCTGGAGGTTGAGTGACCACTGTTTGATGGAAGCAAAAGAGAACAGTGGTTTATGTTGAGAGAAATAGGACAGCTGCCAACGAGTCTTCTGCAGAAGAACAAGCCACCAACACCGCGTCGCCATGTTTGTTTGTCACTCAGAGAAGTAGAGTGCCAGTGGACCGGGTGAGTGTGTACACACTTACGCACACACGTGTCTCACATGGAAGTTGACCACATATTCAGCATTGGTGCGCTGGACAGAGATGGCAAAGGGTTCAAATGGGTGGAAGGTGAAGGCCACCAGGCGCCGCACAGCGTGGTTCACAGGACGTCCCAGTAGACCAGCCTGGATCTTGAACTTTAACAGTCCAGAATCTCTGGCATAAAATCTTTTTGGAGAAATCAAGGATTATTGTTAATCGTATACAAAAACATTCTGTGCCATAATGCTGGAAACACATGGTACAGGATAATGTGTCGTCTGTCAGTGAAACGTTTCCAAAATAACTGGCATAAATTATCAGCATCAATCAAGTCCAATAAGCCAAAAAGGGAGCATAATGAGAGAAGGCCCTTCTCTCATTATGCTCCCTGTAAATGGAATTTTTATTTCTAATAGCATCAAGTGGGCTCCAACATTGAGCACGCTTCAGAGTAAACTACAGACTCATTTGTTGAGATAATTTGAGCTGACCTTTAAAGTTTCCATGTTTGGTGCAATGTCTCACCTATAGACAGAACTAGAATACCATCACATTGAGTTTCATTAAATTGTTCAAAATGTCCAAAGAAATCTTCAAAATGAGGGGGGGACTTAACATAATGGAGGGAGGAAAACATTTTGATCCATAAATACTGCCTTGACTCTCGTCACACAAAAATATATCTATGTGTTCTTATTCCAGGTGGAAAACGTGTCGATTGACATTCATTTTACTACAAACAAAATCAAGTGGAATCTGCGGAGAAGGACATACCTGATGGGGTGGTCTCCACAGGTGCGAGGCCGCTCCATCACTGACACCCACTTGTCGTCGTAGCTGAAGAGTGAGAGATCCAGGTACGGGCTGCTACTGTAGGACTGTGCGCTGATGGGCAACTGACCCAGGAGCCGCCGCACCGCCTCAGTGTGGCCGCCATACTTTGCATTTACTATGGTGTCTTTAAACCTGACCAACACACAACAAGACAAACTAATTAGTCTGGAGTCTAAATTATGCTCCTTATTCCTATATACTCAAACCTACTCAAATATCTATAATTCGTTTTATTTCCATCGTTCATTTTTTTGAACATGATGAGAAGCTCATGCCTTTCATAGTAACCCTTTTGATGTACAAGGCCTTTTAAAAAGATTGTTTTTTAAGGGTTTTTCCAAAGGCTCATAGTTGTAGTGGCATGTGGATTTTTGAGCTGTCCTTTCAACTCGTCTTGTGTTTCTGTTCCATTCTTGTACAGCTTCCTTTTTGCTGCACTACGCATCTCTTCACCTGTGAACTAGGCTTCTGCTAGCCAGCTACACAAGACTCAAATCTGGTTTGCTGAATGCACTTGGCAGCTTTCAATTTCTCTTCTTTTCGACCTCAATTTTGCCCACTCTAAAATCCAATTCCAGGCTCTTCTCCTTGCTCAAACTATGCTTTATTTTCTCTTTTTTTTCCTGTCCCCCCTTTTCCCCCTGATTTTTCATACCTCCCTGCTAGGATTTTGTCACCTATACATAGTGGGTCTAACGAGCAAATTTAATCACAGCTCCTTGAGCTGTGCTCACTAGCTTAATGTCGCTCTTCTTTTCCAGATTAAGTCCTGAAATGGCTTCCTTCTGCTGCAGGCAATTGTGCCGATCTGCCTCCCTTCATAAAGCACACCTTCAAATCCTCTGACATTTGGTGCAGCCATTTCCTTTGTCGTTCTGAAATAACCTTTGACCTCCTCCTAACTCAAAATCACACATCAAGACTGGTCTATGATTACTTATTGAACATACTGCATTTTACAGATTAAGTAAATCAGTTTCAAATAGATATGAATTCAGAAATATATTTAAACAGTTGTACTAAAATCTGATGGAGAGAAATGGGGCAGCTTGATTTACAAGGAATAGTAGCCAATAAACATAATGTCCTGATTGCTAATCAATGCACACCAGTCTTTTATTTAGAGGTCTTGAAAATACAGACACACAAACACACACACGTTGATCTGACCACTCAACCAATAATGTACTGGTATATATGTCGAATGTTATAAAAATATGGCCTTCACTCTGGTACCTTCTTTGGACCTGGCGGGCGTAGTTGTTGGAGGAGGCTGAACAGGGGAACTGCACGGCTTGACTGTGGAGGGTAGCGTTTCTGAAGAGGTCACAGAAATTCTCAAACAGCTCCAGCAGCTGATCTGAAGTGTTCTCGAAGACCGCCAACACTTCTGTGGACACCATGTTGTATACCACAAAGAATGACGGCTGTGGGAAGAGTGAGAGGAAGGTGAGATTTTTGCTGGCTATCTGCACAGTTGTAAACCCTGTCTAGACAGACATTTTTTCAATTTATACATTTCAATTTGTGTTTATCAGACTCTATAAGCTGACAATAATAAGGTACCTAATTGGAAAGATGGAAATAGCCAAGAGCTGTTAACATACTCTGAGCTTTCCTGTGTCTAAAATGAACATTAATTATATCTAATTTTTGTTCGTGTGAATGAGGAGACGAATGTGTGCCTTTATGAAGGGAACAGTGTCCTTGGAGACATGGCGTTGGAATCCTTATCTTAGGGTGCGGACAACAAAGCGCTACCGACAAGGCAACAAAGAGAGCAGAGGGAGGAATGTGGATGCTCAGCGGAGTTACCTGTGAGGGGTCGGTGACTCGGAGCGTGACCACGTCTTCACTGGTGTATTTAATGAAGAGGTGATGCTCGTCCAACAGCTGCATCTTCCACATCCGGAGACGCCTCAGCTGATCAAAAAACTGGAAGAATCTGGAGAGGGATATTTACAGGAGAAAGGTTCCCGTTAATGATACACACAAATATATAATGTAAACCTCAATGTTAGTACTGATAATACTGATATGTTTTCATAATATATACACTATGAGGCAGATAATAGATGTATTCAGTAAAAGACAAAATATTGGTGTCAACATTTTGTGTTGAAAAATACCAGCTACCGTTGTATAAATTGGATGTTATGAAACAGCAGCATTGAAGAGATTGGAAGGTTAGAGGTGGAAAATCAGACGTCCTATCATTTAAGTTCAGTGTGACCAAAACAACCAAACTAAATTGAACTGATATTTATACAATACTTTGTTTAGGCCCATATACAGTGAGTAGGACTGTCTTGGGCTTGCACAGCAGATGTACTGCGCAGTAGACAAATAAATGTTTGTGTTTATTTATTATTCTTTCACTATTTTATAACGTTGTTTCGACCATCAGGATGTAAACTAATAATTTGACTATTTAATGAATGTGTGTAGAATACTTAAAAGACATAGTCTTCTTAAAAATAAAAACAAAAAATGTAAATACCAATTTATTGGTATTGCCCAAATATTGTTGCAGATACTTTACCTCGTCCCTGAGTTACTACTGTAGCCACAGTTGCCCTGGACTGTGAGCAGCAAGGCTGCCAATCTGCGTCTACTGTGGGTGAAGTGTTTAGTTGTGGCAACTGGTGTTCCAAGTGGTACTGTACTGACAAGGGCCTGCACTGCTTAGTATGGCCACAAAACATCTTTGTTTTATAAAGAAAGAATAGAGTAGAAACATAAGTATGAGCCATTTTATTGTGCAAATATGATGCCATTGATCCTTTCTATGTGCTGCATCTTGTTCCAGTTTTAGAAGATTCTATTGAACACTTCAATGATCCATGTTGTTAAGTCTAACGTTATTCAATACTTGTAAAAATGTTACTTCCACCTGACTCGAGTTTATGAAGATGCTGATAAAATACACTTTTGATGTGTGAAAAGGTTTCTCTGGGTAATTTTTGCTTAATGAGCTTTAATTATCAGACCATCTGGTACCTGCTGTTTTCTGTAACCTCAATCGCAACTTAAAAGTAAAAACTTAGTGGGAAAAACACAGGCAAGAAAAAAATATATCTGGAACAACATGTTGACTCTTGTCCTTATGTTTGATAAGGACAAGAGTCAACAGATCACAGATGCATGATGGGAGCAACAGGAAGATATGTGACTTTCATTATATTCCCCTTTTTACCTTGTATTATTAAACATTTTAATACATAAATTAAAATACTTTTTTTTTCTACAATTATTTTTATTTTCAAAACTTTCACAAATTCGAATAAGAGCCCATGGAATCTGTCTGATGAGAAATGTACTATGACTTGTAGTAATGTGAGGTTATAGTAATCATATAAAATATATACATAGAGTCTGATTATATATATATATATATATATATATACAGTGCCTTGCAAAAGTATTCGGCCCCCTTGAACCTTTCAACATTTCGCCACATTTCAGGCTTCAAACATAAAGATATAAAATTTAATTTTTTTGTCATGAATCAACAACAATTGGGACACAATCGTGAAGTGGAACAACATTTATTAAATAATTTTAACTTTTTTAACAAAAAAAAAACTGAAAAGTGGGGCGTGCAATATTATTCGGCCCCTTTACTTTCAGTGCAGCAAACTCACTCCAGAAGTTCAGTGAGGATCTTTGAATGATCCAATGTTGTCCTAAATGACTGATGATGATAAATAGGATGCACCTCTGTGTAATCAAGTCTCCGTATAAATGCACCTGCTCTTTGATAGTCTCAGGGTTCTGTTTAAAGCGCAGAGAGAACCATGAAGACAAAGGAACACACCAGGCAGGTCCGAGATACTGTTGTGGAGAAGTTTAAAGCCGGATTTGGATACAAAAAGATTTCCCAAGCTTTAAACATCAAGGAGCACTGTGCAAGCAATTATATTGAAATGGAATAAGTATCAGACCACTGCAAATCTACCAAGACCCGGCCGTCCCTCCAAACTTTCATCTCAAACAAGGAGAAGACTGATCAGAGATGCAGCCAAGAGGCCCATGATCACTCTGGATGAACTGCAGATAACTACAGCTGAGGTGGGAGAGTCTGTCCATAGGACAACAATCAGTCGTGCACTGCACAAATCTGGCCTTTATGGAAGAGTGGCAAGAAGAAAGCCATTTCCCAAAGATATCCATAAAAAGTCTCGTTTAAAGTTTGCCACAAGCCACCTGGGAGACACATCAAACATGTGGAAGAACTTTTTGGCCACAATGCAAAACGATATGTTTGGCGTAAAAGCAACACAGCTCATCACCCTGAACACACCATCCCCACTGTCAAACATGGTGGTGGCAGCATCATGGTTTGGGCCTGCTTTTTTTCAGCAGGGACAGGGAAGATGGCTAAAATTGATGGGAAGATTCTTCTGGAAGAAAACCTGTTGGAGTCTGCAAAAGACCTGAGACTGGGACGGAGATTTATCTTCCAACAGGACAATGATCCAAAACATAAAGCCAAATCTACAATGGAATGGTTCACAAATAGACGTATCCAGGTGTTAGAATGGCCAAGTCAAAGTCCAGACCTGAATCCAATCGAGAATCTGTGGAAAGAGCTGAAGACTGCTGTTCACAAACGCTCTCCATCCAACCTCACTGAGCTCGAGCTGTTTTGCAAGGAAGAATGGGCAAGAATTCCAGTCTCTCGATGTGCAAAGCTGATAGAGACATACCCCAAGCGACTTGCAGCTGTAATTGCAACAAAAGGTGGCACTACAAAGTATTAGGGCAATGGGGGCCGAATAATATTGCACACCCCACTTTTCAGTTTATTTGTTAAAAAGTTTAAATTATCCAATAAATTCTGTTCCACTTCACGATTGTGTCCCACTTGTTGTTGATTCTTGACAAAAAAAATAATTTTTATATCTTTATGTTTGAAGCCTGAAATGTGGCGAAATGTTGAAAGGTTCAAGGGGGCCGAATACTTTCGCAAGGCACTGTATATATCAGAGGTGTGGACTCGAGTCATGTGACTTGGACTCGAGTCAGACTCGAGTCATGATTTTGATGACTTTAGACTCGACTTGACCAAATATAAAAAGACTTGCAACTCGACTTGGACTTTAACATCAATGACTCTGACTTTCACTTGGACTTGCGCCAATTGACTTGCAAAGACTTGCGTAACCCGGGCCATTTTTACCTTTCTCCGCATCTCTCTTTCTATCTATGCCGTCTCTGAAGAAACAAAGCCTCGCGGTAGTTGTAGCGCTCGCGCGAGAGTTCGAACGTGAGTTCCAGGCAGTTTGCGCAGCAACACTTCCCTAAACAAGCGGACTGCATTCACCGGTGGGTGTGTTGTCTAGGAGAGCTGGAAATGAGCGAGCTGCAGGTATTTATCGCGACCTAACGTCATATTTTGTTCTACAAACCGTAATTGATATGCTTTCACTACAGGCGCCTCATACAATTGAATCGACGCAGTTGTCACACTGTGTGCCGTGTTTTAAAGAGGAACTGGTGAGTCAAACTAGCGCTAGCCTGCGCTGCTCTGTTGGCTCTTTCTTATATTTTTCTGTGTGGGCGCCGAGGCCTATTATTATGAGTATGTTTTTGCTGTGCTCCTCCTGCTAAAGTTTGCATACATTAGATAGTTGTTTTGATTATGTGCACTAAGCTAGATTAATATTTGCACTATTGTTTATGGTTAATTGATATGAGAATCAGTACTTTGACTGATTGAATTAATTTATATGAGACATTTTATTATGTAATGATATATTGGTAATTATGAGATATTACTAATGCTGGCCCAGTTCATACAGGCCAGGGTCCTTCCCCTCCATTGGTCCCTTCAGTCCTTTGGAACAATAACCACTATGGACATTAAACTGATTATATAGATACAGGTCCTAGCCCAATACTCATATTCATATATGCTGCACTTGCTACTTCCCATTAAAAACCCCAAAGATAAAAAGTATGTTGACACGGACTGCTCTGATTTTATGTGTGGTCTGTGCATGTGTAACTGAGCCTGCATCTGGCACAACATAGTTTTGATTTACCAGCAGCCAACCACATGGAACAAACTGTTAGTCCATGGGTCAGAGACCAACGAGAATGCACCAGCAAAATGATTCCTAACATTATTTTGTTTGCCTACAAAAGTACGTGGAGACCAACAAGAAACAAATTGCGGTCAAAAAGACTCGAGAGGACTCGAAAGTCAAACCGTAGGACTTGGGACTGACTTGAGATTTGTTGGCCTTTGACTTGGACTCGACTCGGGACTTGCCTGTCTTGACTCGTGACTTGACTCGGGACTTGAGGGCAATGAATTGAGACTGACTTGTGACTTGCTAAACAATGACTTTGTCCCACCTCTGGTATATATTATACAAGATTTTGCTCATTAGAGGCTTTATGGAGCTATAAAGATACATTGCACAACATTTCTCCTCCACCTTGTTGCCATGGAGATAGTTTTGGGTGAAATGTCCCTCAGACTGGTATAAAACATTGATAATATTTATGTTATTTAATTACAGATATTTTTACTCATTAAAAGCCTGAATTGGTACATTATGTGAGCTTGACTCTCACAGAGTAGACATTATGTCAAACCCAATACCTCCTCTTGGCAGTGGCGCTCCCATCCTGCTCGGCTCTTCTCCACAGATAAACTAGGAGCCTGTGCTTGAGCGAGTTGATGGTTTTGTCTGTGTAGAGGCGAGGAAACCCGGGCTGGCTTTCAGCCTGAGCCTCCGTGTACACAGCGGACAGAGTGAGGAGGTCATCCTCGTAACAGAAGCGGCCGATTGTTCGAACGTCCAGGAAGGTCCCTTCTGGAGTCACCTACGACGGAAGCAGAGCCCATGAGAGGACAGTATAGCGAGAAAACGACCAGAAATCTGAATTCAAACTTTTCTGACCGCTAACGATAAGGATTAATTAGCTGCTTGAGTTCTCTCACCTAACCAGAACCTTTATTTGTTTGAATTAAACACATCTCTAAAGTAAGGGTTAGGTCTTTTCCCTTACTTGACGATAAAAGTAAGAAAAAGTGCTGCAGAGCAAAAGCCCTTGAGTCGCAATATAACCGGTCAAGAAGGAAAAGTACGGCTGGATCAGTAGAACAACTCTGAGCAAATCTTTCTGTGAAGGAAGAAAATAATTGTTTGTGTACTATGTCCTAAAACAACGTGAATGACAATAAAAACAACTCCAGGGGGCTGTTTCATAAAGCTTGACGAAGTGAGGCTAAAGTTGAGGCCAAAAGCTTGCACTCAATCCGCCTACAATCGCTCATTATGGACACAAAGCAACAAAAACCTTTTACACACGCACATCTCCCAGAACTCCAGAGCACTGGCCGTACACAGTCACGCCCACTTTTCAGACCCGGAGATGATCAAAGAGTAAACTTCGACAACAGAAGAGGCGTGGCAGAAGGCCGAGAGGAAAAGTGAGACAGATTTGGTCCAATGGCCAAAGTGTGACGTGATGCAGAGGTGCGGGAGTGGCTGGCTTTACGTGCACAGATTAAGGGATTGTACTGCAGTTATTTTGGGCGACGAGCAGCTTTGGCCCCTGACCCAGTGCGGATGCGCGGAGCTTTGGCATACAGTGGGAAAGGTGCAAAACGTGCCAATACACTACACACTCGTCACTTTTGGAGGCCACAGGAATGGCTTTTATACATTTATAAATGCTCAAATTCTAGTAGTTTGTGTATCTGCAAATGTGTATGTGAAATTATAAAATATACAAAGGAAATTATGAAATATACATATGAAAGTAAATATATAAAACATTACATAATACATATAGTGTGCTAGGAAAAGTAGAGTTCAGACAACAACAAAAATTCGGAGTTATAAACCTGCTCTGGACCAGGCTAAGAGCATGAGAGATTGCGACTCAAACTGAGCCTTCAAGAAGTTAATGAATCCTTCTTGTTCTTTAAATGCATGAGAGTATGTCTGCATTAATTGAATGACTTTAATCCACATGTGTGCATAACGGAACGCTCAGATTCACCTGAAAAACATGAATTGTTTGTTGCTGCACTGACAGCACAGCCAGGATGTTGCGGTAGAGGTAGAGCCCCTGGTTGTGAGACAGAATGATCTTGTCGCACTTAAAGGACCTGGTGTCGCAGAGACGTCCCGTGTGGAGGTCAATGATGTGCAGGGAGTAGTCTTCAAGAGGAGAGCGTGGATTGGGGGTCACAGACTCATTGTTTCTGTAGACCTATAGAAACATGAAGTCTGATTAGATGGATGTATAGTGTTCCTGTGATACATGTGCAATAGATGTTACCCTAATCCCATTGTGGTACAAGGGGCCTATTCAGTTAAATATTTGCCATTCAAGACCAGTTTTAGACTAGGGCTGAAACAATTATTTTGCTAGTCGAAGAATCTAGCTATCATTTTTCAATGGATTGATTAGTTGTTTAGAATGCAAATATGTATGTAAATATACATAGAGTATCTCAATTTGAACAAGAAGCTGAGTTGAAGCAACAGGAGACCAGGTAATCAGAGAGAAATCACAGACTGAAGCCCGCTAACCGAGAGTGAAAACATAAAAACAAGAGTCTGAAACAGGACTAAACCAGGTCTGAACCAGGACTAAACAAGGTCTGAACCAGGACTAAACAAGGTCTGAACCAGGACTAAACAAGGTCTGAACCAGGACTAAACAAGGTCTGAACCAGGGGTGAACTAGAACTAAACCAGGTCTGAACTAAACAAGAACTGAAGGAGGGCCGAGTTTTGGCTTGAAGTACAAGCTAAAATCTCTCAGTTCTTACATGTGGAATCTGTAAATAGAACAGTAGACAATTATTCAACTACAATAATAGTTTTTGGTAAAAAAGAAGAAAAGAAGTCTGAGGCACTCTTTTATAGTGAAAAAATAAAAGTCCTTTATTAAATGGACTGCCTACGCGTTTCGACCAACAGCGGTCTTCGTCAGGGCATAGTTTTTGGTAGTTTGAAAAACCTTGTCTACATCCAGCTGTAGACAAGGTTGGATATGGCCAAACAAAAAAGGTACAAAAGTATTTAAATATGGTGGTATTTTGAAGCTCAAATCAATGTGTGTGTCAAGTCCCACACATAACTTTAGTATGAGAGGAATATAATTTTAAGTAAATATTCAGCACCTCAAAGAAATACGGTGGTGGATCTTCTGGCACATAGACTGCTGAGCCCACGATGACATAGCGACAGTCGTCCGTGAACAGGCTGCACTCTCTGTTGAGGTGCTCTCCGTTTGAAGCCACATTTGTGACGTAGAGCAATGAAAAAAATCGCTCGAACAGTCGGCCACGGATGTTGAGTGAGCGCTGGTCATTGGCCGTGAGCAGTGTCTCTCCATCCTGACCGCGGAGCAGATCCTGAGCTGCTTGACAGCCCTGGTATTCGTAAATCTGTTAACAAGACACATTTTTGTTTTAATCCTTTTTGTCCAAGAAGCATTAGACATTAAATACATTTGACAGAAATGTTCCTGGATTTTGCTAAAACAAAAAGTAAGTTTTGATGTAACTTTGGGAATGAATCACAATGGGATCTGTGAACCCAGGTGTCTATATACAATAAACATTGCACCCTCATTGTATCATAAAAAACTAATTAGACTAGACTAATTAGTGAAGATAGAAACAGAGCTTTAGGCTTTGAATATACTTGTATGCTTACAACAACAATAGTTATATCAGAGCTAGGTTTTAGTAATAGATGATTAGATTGGGTAATTCACCCATAATATATTTGTCCTTTAAAACAGTAATATGGGTTTCAGCAAATATTGGTTATTGGCCACAACAGAAAGAAAATATGGAATTATGTAACTGATTACATTTTCTTTGTATAAATTGTTGCAACTTAAGTGATACTAAAACCTAAAAAAATATAGTTTGATTTTATGAATATACATACTAATAGATACTATTTATCAATTAATTCATATTTATAAATACCTATATAACATACATATACATTTCATTATGTATTTATACTTCATTAAATTATTAAAACAAATTTCTGTTGAATATCAGACTGTTTTAGAATATCAGAACATGTATATTCCTTCTTTTATACCTCCAAGGATGTCTGATCAGAGGAGAAGGCGATAAAACAGCGCCCATCCGGGGAAAACTTCCTGAGAAAACACGGAGGCTTCTCTACGTTGACCACAGTGAAGTTGGGGAAGAGATTTTGGTGAAAACAGCGGACTCTGTACCAGTGAGCCCCTGGTCGACCCAAACAGATCCTCCGTCTCTCAAGCCGATGGACCACATTTTGATTTTGGATTCGCCTGGGCTTTAGTGTCGGAGTGTCCTCTTCCATCACTCTTGGATTGTGTCAGAAAAAACACTCGAAGGTGCAATGCCACGATTACGGCACATTACAGGCCCAGTCTTGTTTCTGTGAAGAGAAAACATGATAGAGAAGGATGACATCTCTGGGATCAATATTACACCATAACAACTATCTTAATGATCTTACACAGCTGTCATGTTAACGTCGATCTAAGAAGCAGCATGAGTAGCTGAAGTTTCACAAGCAAAGAAAAAATAGCTCACACGACTAGGCTGGGCATTAGTCTTTGTTACTTACTTGCATCACTTGAAAGAGTTTGAAGGTGATGCTGTTTCTGTCCAACTCCAGCCCCGGAGGGAAGATCATGTATTTAGCCTTCTGTTCTGTGTTTCCCCCAACTCCAAACAACTCTAAGATAAAGACGTGCAGCTGTCCTAAAACGGCATGTCTAATCTCCCAGTCTGAGCGAACAAACGCGAGAAAGCGTTATTATTGTTAGCATGACATGAGTTAGCTGCTCATGCTACACTGCTGAAGGAAGCTCGCGCTGCTCACCTTTGAAACAGCGCCACTCTATTTAGAGCAGGACAACTTCGGAATTGCAAGACAGACACAAAAACTTATATCTCCTTTTTAAATATGTGTCAAAACAAGCAACAATATTCAACATGTATTGCTATTGGCAGTACATCTGAAGGATTGTTTTAAGAAGAGATGAAACCTTATTTGTATGGCACTAAAATATATCTGGCTTTAAAAAAAAACTATTTTTAAATATTTGTCTCATGGCACGATTCTTATTTTGGCAAATAATCTATTCAAATAATGAAACAAAATACAACAAATGATACTGATATTATTGTAATACATGAATACATACAATATAGCCTACTACTACAATTGGTGTCAAAGGGCCAGATATAGATATATTTAGAAAGAAAGAACTAGACCACTAAAAATAATAATGCAATGGTCATTAACCTGTAGATTGACTGGCTGTGCAGGGTTGGGGTTTACCTGAAATACGCACTAAGATTACTAGCTGTATTTAGAATACATTACCTTCAGTATTTTCTGCGCATATTATAGTATAGTATAATTTACTTATCAACAATAATAGAAAATGCAAAAAAAATGTTCTTCCTACATAGCATTTTTACACCATGTCATTATGCAATCAAACCAACAAATATTCCAAGTATTCAGAACCAAGTAACATAATATGTACAAAATACATTTAAGCAGGTATACAGTATTCTGTGCAAAAAAAATGCTAAAAACAAAATCCCCAATATTGAATGCAGACGGTCACTCATAATAAAAACTAAATTAACTGATTATAAAAACATTCTATATATTTTTTGAAAAAAATCCTGTGGTTCTGGCTGCTCAGAGAAGGAGTTAAATCTCTCAGCCGAGATCTCTGAAAATGGATATTTCAAGCAACTGCGTAACAATAGCAAAACAAGTTTATTTTCATTTTTTTCTAAGAATTGACTAATTCATAAAATATTGGTATCGTGGCCCATTAAAAAAAAAATCTTTTCTCTTTTTCTTACTCTGCCCCCCTTGTACATAATTGTAATTTTATTTTCAATCTTGAAATCTTCAGCAGGCTGAATACATTTCTGTAACAATAAGGATTCGACCCACAGAATATAGGAAATACGACCTCATTATCAGAATGGCCACCTGCTGTGTTTTCATCTGTCAGTGTGAAGAGGTCACAGAGCTGCAAGATAAAGGTTTTGCCCTTCTACATATAGTCTAGTTCACATGAGGCAATTGTTTCTTCAGTCACAGCAAGAGGCATTTCTATTTGATCAAGAAGAACAATTACTAATAAGGGATGCCACTAGTTGATTTTGTATTTTTCTTGGGAAATTATATTTAGATTATTAATTTATTCTTTACCAAATAGAGGATAAATATACAATGACAGAATATTTTCTAAACAAAGGCTGGTGTCTTGGAACAGAAATTTTAGAAAGTGTGTAAGAGTGTGTGTATCTATTATAATACAATCATGAATAATTTTACTAGTTGACAAGTCACAGTTAGATGACTAACTGTAAATACAAATTGCGAAACTGGACGACGTTATGTGAAATACACGGGATTATGACCAAGGTTAAAAACATGAAATCTTTTGGTCACATTCTCAGAGCAAATCTTTGCCCTGCATACTGTAGATTTAAAAAGTCTATTATAATAAATGGAAAAGCACATTTATTCTGGTATTTTTATCCCAAAAAACCTGAGGAAAACATGTGAAGTGTAGCATTTCATTTGAATGTAATTTTAAGGCGGTAATTGCAGAGCACTGGTCTTCAGCAGCACTCTTAGCATGCAAGCATGAGCCAAACTTACACATGCTGACTTTAGTGAAGTACCAATTTGCCGGACAGTAGGTGGCTTTGCAGGTGAGGACCAGAGTGCCTCTCGCGAACTTTGAACATGATTGTAATTGCTCGTCTGAAATGGGCAGAAAAAAACACTTAGACCATGCATGCTATAAGACCGTGTTTGTTTAGTTCCTTTAATCAAATCTATTTATTTACGACAGCAGCGCCAACTGCCCTGACCTGCATTTTTGCCCCTTCATATGACAGATAATTAAATTACAATTATCCTCTTTTTACATGCATGTTCGTACAGATTAAGAATAGAAGCGAGAAGGCGAAGAAAAAATGCAAATTGCTCACTGGACTTGGAAGACTGCTAATGGTACTTTGCGCAATTATCCCTGACCAAAAGAGTTTAAATGTTGTAATTTTCCATAAAAGCACCTGTAGTGGGCCTGAAAAGACAGTGAGGGAAAAAAGAAAGATGAAGAAATGAATAGTAGAGAAAGATGTGAAATTATGCACTTTAAAAATCTAATGGCATTTTCATTTTAAACTATGCCTGATTAGCCCTGCCGTGTATAGGCAGTGGGCATTGTGCAGAAGTAGATGTGTGCGCGGCTACACACTGGGAAAATATATAGCCTCTTCTTGTTCTTCTGTTATTTGGTCTCTAATAAAGCGCTCACTGCTGCACAAGATCCTCGCCTCAGCTTTTAGCATCAGCCCATGAAGTAGGGAATCGGTGGCGAGCCCACGTCCAACCATTTTTATACTCTTTTGCAGCAAGACACAGTGCTTATTTAAGATCATTTTTTCATCCTTCCATGCTTTTTGCAGCCTAAAGTGGACAATGTTTTTCTGTTTCTCTTTGTGTTCCCCATCCATATTTCCCCCCCCCCCAACCAAATGGGACTGAATTTTGCTCTTAAATGCATGCTCCAAAAACCTACTCGTAAAACTTGTAGCAGCTCTATATTTTTAGAAAAGAAAAAACAAAACACTCACGCAAAACTAGTAGCACAAAATTGTATGTGCAATGCTGCAAATCGGCGGTGAGAAAATACAATTGCTATAATTATAAGTCTTATGTAACAAAAGACATGATTTTAAAGAGCATTTGCATTAAAGGGTAAGTGTGAAGTATACAGTGAATTTGATGAGATCAGACTTCTTATATACAGAAGAGAAAGGCACTTTGAAAAGGTTATTCTAAGCAAACAGAAGAAGCATTGTTTTAACCATTTTGCCGCCATTTTGTATTTGGCATTTAAAACAAAAGCCTTTTAACTTTTCCCTCCAGATTTCACTGCACAATACGACATTTCAACAGTGCGAATCTATAAACGTTAAGGAGCTGAACTTTTTCATGTCATTGTGCTGGTGGAAGATTTATGCTTTTTCCCTGTGACAAATTACAGTGATCACAGGTGCATTATGTCGGAGCTACCACACCCTTCTCTCCAGATGGATGCTGGGCCGACCAACAACGTCCGGGTTCTTGTCCTTTTACTATTGGTTTTGTGGGAAAAAATATATATGTACTGCATTCAAAATGTTCCAATGTTCCCCAAGGACAAGAGTACTACAAGCATCGGGCACAGGCCACTTCATGTTATTGATTCACCTTGAAGCTTTCTCATGCTATACTTTCATACATTTTCATTGAGACCAAACCAAGCTATAACATCTCCAATTGTTGAATCAATCGATCAACCTTTACTCGGTCATACACAAAGTGATTACAAAGTACTTCACAGCAGCGTAGTACACACAGGGCATTAAAAAAACATAAACATTAAATTAACACACAGCATTAAAAAGAAGCATATACTGTATATCACACAGGGTATTAAAAAGATGAATAATCATAGTGCATTAAAAGAATCAGGATATACAGAACTATTTTAGAACTGGATTTAAACATTGTCAAAGTAGAAGCTTGTCCCATATTATCTGGAAGGGCGTTCCAGATTTTTCTGAATTGCTGCCTCCCCATGTTTAGTCCTGACTCTGGGCACCAACACAAGGTCAGTCCCTGTGCTCCTCAGAGTCCGATGTGTTGTGCCGTGTCCCTGTACAAATAAAAGCATATACCAGCAACAAGAAAACTATCTTTAATTAGAAAATGTGTATTATTTGATGTTGTTGATTATGTAAAGAAAACATAACATTCTCTTTCTGCTTACTTCATGACTTTTTACATACTTATTACTGCTGTATAGTGATTATCTTGACACCCGGGTCAATTTTGAATGTAATTACAAAACCTGTTTGGAACTAAGGCTTCTTTGAGGTGTTACCAAAGGATGCAACTTCCCCTTTTAGCCAAATGGAAACCAACATGAAAAACAAATCCGCAGGAGATAATTTTCCATGAGTGCCCACCTTGCCTCATCGCTCTTACATACGGTGCTCACATTCGTGTAGAATATCTTTTGGAGAGAATGTTCATGTTTTAGTCTCTCCTCGTGCTCTGACGTCTGATTGTTGAACTTCCATCATATAGGTTATTTTTTCAGATTTGTACACACATTTTTAAATTTTTTTTTTTTACATTTGGCTATAATTTACCAAAAGGATCCCATCTTTATACACAACATCTCATAATGTATCAAATTATTTAACATATGAAAATAAGAAGACATGCCATTTTAAATGCATAGTTTAAAAATAATAATC